TGGACATAGTAGAGTCAACTGAAGCTGGGTCCATATTATCAGCTGGTATTGTTCGATTGGGATGTTTTCATTTATTAATGTCTTTTCTAGGATCAGTAGGATATATAATGAGTGGTAGTGGTATTGAGGAGTTGTGGCAAATTGTCTATGGAAAAGCGACTGTACCTCACATGATGGCCGGCAAAGCATATGCAAGAGCGGTACGTGCACATATTTTAACAGCTTCAGCACTGTTCAGTCTTATTCATGACGAGGTGGTTTCAAAATCAGAAGAATCGCTAGATGTACTAAATGAATTAGCCAAACAGTTGTTCGAATATGGCATCACTGAGAACGATGTATTTGAGACCACCACTATTAAGACATACCTAAATATTTTTGAAAAGACAAGAGGAGAGCTTGAACAATCTGGACGTACTGCAAAACTTTGGCTTCAGTACTTCGACCAAATCATGCTTATGTTAAATTTCTTAAGAGCTGAACTATCAATAAACTGAAATATCAATATACAAAATACAAACATTTTTTCAGTTTTTAGTAGCGAATATTATTTAGCTCTTGGTAATTTTTGATAATGTTGACAATTAAGGAGTCATTTAAAAAAATCGGCCACCATTTTCCATTTCTCTTTAATACTAATAAGGAAAAATTAACAATCGTGTCTAAAAATGAATTTCCATTTGCCTGCCTGGATTTTTACTAAAATATTTCCTAAAAATGAAAGATAGAATCCCTATTTAAATAACTTTAAATTTAACAAGTACTACGTTTACTGCTATTGGAAGGGTTATAAAGTGTGTAATTATGTTAAATATCATTAGCTTAGTATAAAATAAATAGTGTAATAAATACTTTTCCCAGTGCTTCAAATATTATATGTTTCTCATCCCCTCTATCTATGCTTGATTGAATTAGATTTTCTATTCCTCGTTCCACGATTACCTGATCTTTTTCAATTTCTACTTCACATATTGCGCATTTCATGTTTAATTAAATGACACTGGCATGGTTATATATATCACACAACGTTAACAATGTACACCGAAAAATAATAAAACAACTTCAAATTAACACGAACACACTTAAAAACAGCCTTTCATTCTTATTAAATAACTTCAGAATCTGTAAAACAAACAAACATTCTCAGCTATCATACTTCATTATACTGTCAGCTGACTAACAATGAACAAGTCAAATATTCCTGTTAAAAAAGTGCTGCCAATATCAATAAACAAAATACAAACATTTTTTCAGTTTTTAGTAGCGAATATTATTTAGCTCTTGGTAATTTTTGATAATGTTGACAATTAAGGATTCATTAAAAAAAATCGGCCGCCATTTTCCATTTCTCTTTAATATTAATAAGGAAAAATTAGCAATCGTGTCTAAAAATGAATTTCCATTTGCCTGCCTGGATTTTTACTAAAATATTTCCTAAAAATGAAAGATAGAATCCCTATTTAAATAACTTTAAATTTAACAAGTACTACGTTTACTGCTATTGGAAGGGTTATAAAGTGTGTAATTATGTTAAATATCATTAGCTTAGTATAAAATAAATAAGTTTGCCAAGTTTGATAAAAATATATCCATAAATAAGCAAACTGCAACAATTTTCTTTTCCTTCATAAGAATAACATGGGAATTTTAAATTTAAACTATTTTTATTATTTATCTCAATAGCCGTTAGAGATAGAGAAAACCTTGTAATATAAAAAAATGTGTATTTTAAGGTGTTCTTTAACTTTTGTATTAACAAAAATTCTCTAATACCAATAGTTTGGGAAATATTGTCAAAAAAGTGAAAATTGGCCGCCATTTTCCAAGATGGCGGCTGAAGCACAGCAGGGATTTCCGGGGACTTTTGACATTTTCAAGAACATGGCTTACTTAACAGCTGTGCAAAATTTCTAGGTAGTTCGAATTTGTTAGGTCGATTTTCCTAATATTCTTCCACTATTGTTAAACTTTGTACAATTAAATCTACAGTTCTACTGAACCGATTTTATTAATTAATATGAATTCATTAACTGGAAAGCCTAATTCGTGTAGATTTGCAAATAATTATGAAAAATTGATTTTTAAAGATTTACTAGGTGAAACCCGTCAAAGTCTGACAGTTGCTGTTGAGGTTGCAAGCAAGATCGTTTGACTGTAAATCGATGATAAATGACTCCATCTTTTGAAAATTTTGCGTTGTTCCTGATTTAGCAGTGTGCTTTAGGTACGTCCGATCTTAATAATCGATAATTCAAATGGAAGCTGGTATTTCACTGACGGTCCTTAGGTCAAAACAAATAGAATGACGTAATTAGAATTGAGTAAATATATCTAAAACTAAATTCCATATCCAAGACATAATTAAATTTATGTTTTCTGATTGAGCGATACAGTATATCTTTAACTTAACTGATTAAAACTATCAATATCTCAAGTGAAAGGCTTTGAAGTATTTTAAGACCAAGACATATAAAATAACTTAAATAAAATTCGAGTTACGTATCATTGATTGCAGATAAGTACTAAAACGATTATAATTATTGTTGATTCATTATTCGGCAGTGTGCTTTAGGTAGGATTATTAAGATCGGAATCTTAATAATCAATAGTTCAAATGAAAGCTGGTATTTCACTAAAGGTTTTTAGACAAAAAATATAGGGTAATGTAATTAGAAGTGCTGGAATACATCTTTAATTGAAGTAAAAAATCAAAATAATAAAATTTATATTTTTCGTTGAGTATACATTAGATAAATTTGAATCATGCTTGATGACAAATATTTGCTTGCATAGCTTTATTTTAAGACCAAAATTATGAAAATCGGGTTGGTAGAAGATCCAAACGAACTCGAAAAAAACAAATTTAACTCCCATAAGAAGTTTACAGGGACACATTTTGTGCATAACTCGAAATATACGTCAAAACGAATGCCGATGATTGATGGCAAATCTGTGGTGCGCCTATACCTTTAGTTTAAGGCCAAAATTATGAAAATCGGTCGGGTAGAAGACCTTTAACCCGACTCGGAAAAGAAAAACCAATAATTTTTATAGATGGAAATAATTGGTTTACCAGTATGCATAATCTAAACACACGAAACACGTGTTAATAATTTAACAGCTTATTGTTATATTGTTATTTAATTGATTTTTCTTTGATTAAATGTTGTTGTTAACAATTTGAATTTGTGTTTAAAGTGAGTTCCTTATGTTAAGTATGCTATTCTAATGTTATGTGCTTAATCTGTACCAGTAGTATTAGTGAGTAAAGTGGTGTATGGATTTCACAACTATTATTTTACTAGAGACCGTTGTATTTAAAACCACAACGGGCTCTGTTGCTAGTTGTAAGTAAGATGTAATATTGGGTTTTTTCGTTTTCTCAAACACAGCTTGCCACAACGCCAAGCTAGGATGCATATCAGCTGATTAGATTGGCAATGAAATAAAGAATACAGGGATACAGTACCGAAATGTCAACTTGTGTTGTCGTTAAACAGTGTCTTATGGTACTTGCAATTTGGGTTGCGTTTAAAAACTCCCTGTATATATTTATATAAATTTGAGCGAATTGTGTTTTTGACCTTTAAGACATAAAAATTAAAAAGTGAATCGACGCCGGGTCTATGCCCAATGTGATAGCTTATACGGGAAATTCTCTTAAAGAAGACATTTTGAACGTTATAACTTGTTGTAAAATTAGTTATGTGCATTAAGAATATTTAATATTTTATGTAAAAAAAACAATAAAAAGAGAATAAAGTGGGTCAAAAAAGAGGGATTCATTTAATTATTGAATACAATTTTATCGGATTACACAATGTAGCGAGTGACATCAAATTTACACTCTAGTATTTATATAAATATCCGTTTCAGACTTATGTACAATATGAAGGATGTCAAGTTCTTAAGGATATTGTACAATACGTTTGTACAATGTCCTTTAAGAGGTAAGAAGTAAGAGTACAACATTTGGATGAACTTAGATTTTATTCTCATTAATTTGATTTATTTTAGGTTTATGTTGGTGATAAGTTCTGTTATTGATTAATACAGTGGAAATATGCAAAATCTGGTTGAAATGTGATGTAAAATCGGACTGTATGGATCTTTTTTTAAGGCAGTAACAACAATAAAACAAACCCAAATTCCTTGAACTGCCTAAAAACTAACAGTTGAATGGAAGGTTAATAAGTGCAAAACCAACTTAATTTCTTATCCATATAACTAGACAATATTTAATATACAAACACAATTGCCTAAATTAACATAATTTCCTTAAACAAATATAAGAAACAATACTACATTGGTTAGATCTTACGCTTGAAAACTCTTTAAGTGAATGTCTAACAAATTCCAATCATTCATCTTTACAATATAGGTTAACAAAATCAACTTAGTATTGACATTTGTTCTGGGTTGAGTTAAATGTTGACCTAGTCTTAGTGGATTTTAATGAGACTACAGATTTTTATAAAAACTATGACATTGACCCAATACAATCAATACTTTTTTATCATTGTTATAAGGCCAGTCATGATAATGAAATTACTATGTAGTGAGGTAACTAATGTACTTTAATATAATAAATTACCTGAATCTCCAGGAATGTTTTTGTTAATTATTTTCTAACGCTATTTACACACCCATGATCGATACAATACAGAAACACAAGTATAAGCGTAAATAGTAAGAGAAAGAGGACTTGCAACACAGTGCGGCCCGGACTTATTTTTTTATGAAGTGTCAATAATGACCATGTAAGATATGGCATTTCAGAGAATACAGATGCAACAAACAACACAAGGGCCCAGTAAGACTACGGTGGAGACTGGATAGCATTTCAAGCTCGGTTCATCACAAAGTCCTCCCTTTGACATCACTGAGTACGTGATTCTACACACCACACGTGGTACAAGGTCGATTGTGAATCAATCAATTGTATTTCAGGCCAATGGCAACATAGTCAGGATTCCAATCAGTGATCCGCCATGGTCCGGGCCAACTTGAAGGGACAAAAACCCTCCCACCCATTGTCAATGTCTAGTGGAACTGTGCAAAGAGACCGATAATCACCCTACAACAAACCTCAGCATCCACCATGGTAAGTCATAGTGACTAAATTACATAGGGCTTCTCGGTTTGTTTGTCAAATCGATTGAGCAATTTTGAACAAAAAGGAGGATTGTTCCCAGATCCTGATTTGTTGTATACACATAGTAGGTCAGTGCAGCTCAAACAATAAAACAATTAGTAAATAAGCTGTCAGTGAATTTTTAGGTGCTTATTGTTATTTTTCAGTGTAAGAGCAGGATAGAACATAGGCCCCTATCCTTTCTGGCCATTTCATGGGATTGTTAGATCTTTTCATTGAAAATTAAAAAAAAATAAAAGAGAAAATGTCTATTTATTGGAAAATATGCTGATGGTTCATTAAAATAAGGTATCTGATCATATTTTTTTAATTTATTGAACAGTTTTAATAATTTCTTGATCAGTGTACGTGTTATCGAATTTATAGAAAGTAAATTTAAGATGAGGGCTTTCCATGTTTCTTAACTAAAATCTATATCTTTTCAAATAGGTTAATTTAATTTAATAAAACCAGAACCTTTCAATTTATTTACAATACAGTCCGCATTGTAAATAAATTGAAAGGTTGATTTTGAGGTTGAATTGAAAAACTGCCTGATTTTGATATTATAAGTGAAATGCCTTCAAATAAATTTTATTTCGTAAAATATAAAATCATCTGGTAAAAATAAGAATATTTAGAATTGTATTCTATATTTAGTTAACCAATATAATCCCATAACTATGTACACTGGCATCGCACAATATAAATATAATTCTTCTAGTTGTAGCTCGAAATAATCGTTTGCATTAACTATATGAAACTGTTCCAGGCTGACAAACTGTCCAAGAAGGAGCTTGAACGTGAGTTTTGCGTTTACAAATTTATATTTTAGCATCTGTACAATTTGTCACAAAGTTTTCTATTTCCTCTAGTACTTATGCGTTATCGTATTGACATGCCTTATTTTTAATTAGGTACATAGAAATATCAAAACTATCTACAGTATAAATATATTACAGGTTTACATGTAATTTGGCTTAAAACCAACGTATTACAATGTGTTAAATACCGTTGAATATTTGTACAAAATGTTGTAGATGTTTAAAATTATTAAGGCATAGTAGGGCAATTTACTTTATATGTACATATCTTTAAATTCCAACTTTTCCATAATCTATAACCACATCAATCTCAGTCTTTCCCTTATCAGCAGTATCACGGTAATCCTGTAATTTCTTACAGTTATTTCTTGTAAATTTGTATGCTAGGAAACCCTAAAATATTGGATTACCAAAATAAAATCTAATATTTGTATACATAAGTAAGCCACGCATATTATTGACATTTAGCTGTCTAATAACAAACGAGAAATATATTCTTATTTAAATACGGTAGTTTGAAAAGTTCTTGAGTATAAAATATAATATAAATGACTTTATTCAAGAAATACACTAGACCTATAAATCATTAAATGTATAAATAATTAATTATTTCCTAAAATTATAATATAAGCCATTCATTTGCCCATAGGAAAAGAGGTCTTATCTGCAGAAAGTTTAGCAATAACTATCCATTAAAAAACACAATTAAATACTAATATTACGATTTTAGAAATAAAATACACATTTAGGTATCAGGAGTTGACATTGTTCATAAAATTTCTTTTTACAAATGAACAAATTCATCCAATTATACGAGAGAAAAATGTGGCCCTAGGTCTAGCATTATGGAAATAATTTAGGGTATATGGTGCCTCAAACCTTATCGTCGAATTTTTTAGTAAAGCAATACTTTGGATATACGTAAATAGAAAAAAAGTTTAAACTCATTTTATATGTTAGACTAATTAATAATTTATATATCAATTATTATTTGACTCAAAACAGGGTTTGGTAGTGAGAAATAAGTTATTATGTAAGGAAAACGGCTAGAGACTCTGAAGTTTTCGATCCATCATGGTCACTGACTCACAATGCCACTAGTACCTGGTTCGGCAGCAGTTTAGTTTTTAGGACTTAGATTGAGATCAAGTATATGACCTCTCGATATGTTTTGACAGAACTCCACCACGTGTACATGATCTACGACTTGTCAGGGGAGGGTCAGATGGACGCTGCGGACGCCGCCAACGCCATTCGAGCCCTCAACATGAATCCTACTGTGGCTCTTGTCAACGGCCTCGGAGGTTCCAGCACCCGAGGTGAGACTAAACAACACTCAAAGTGCCAAGTCAAAATTATACTACAGTACATATACCATAAATTAAAGGATGTTTTCTATTTTTTTACGTAACGACTTTCTTTACTTCGTGTGATTGGCAATGCTCGATCGTCGACAGAAGGTGAGATAAACTCTACTTCATTCAAGATAAACATTTGTTTAAGTGTTTTAGAACGAAACCTATTTTGTCATATAAAAATGTAAACAAAAAAAAATATTTATCCCTCGAAGCTAATTTTTGGGGCTATTTGTACACAATAGTCGAGCGTAATAATACTTTTTGGTTCGCATTTTTAGACTTAGACTAAGAGAAGGAAACAAAGGTTACATTTAAAAATGTCAACTTCAATAAAAAATTAATTTAGTTTAGTAATGACCTTATTGAGTTAGTGAAGTAGGGGGTGTGTTATTCCTTATTACGATTCAAGATCAAATTAACGTTATATAATAACGGAATATTTTGTATTTTGATACAGAATGTCGAGTGTAAGAACCTTGCCCGTATTGATTTGTTTAGTCATTCTTTGAGCGTTTCAACTCCGTATATTACCAATCAACACAATTTTTGCACATACTTTGCTTATTCATTTTAGGTAATATTTTTTACGTTAGTGTACTAATACCTCAATTAATTAATCATTGAAGAAAATTTCAAATCACCTGTCCATTTTATGAATGACCAAGATCAGCTGTTTCCTTAGCCCAAGAATATTTATTAGAAGCCCGATGAACCATCTACATTTTGATAACTTTACCACTCAGATAACTACTTACACTTTGCATAGGGTTTGATGAAATCGGTTGATAATTAGATTCCAGTAACACATGTTTAGAGTGTTAAAAATTCTGCAATATTAAAATTATCACATTCATGGTTATTAAACAAAATCAATGAAATAATTAGGTCCATATGTTGTTTATAAATAATGATTTTTAAATCATTCCAAAAGGCGTCCTTTTATAGATTAACATCCTGCAACAAACATTACTGATATTTAATATTGTCAGATGTTTTATAATTTAAATAACCGATAACAATGCAGTTTCAACAAGAAGTATATATTATAGAAGGCCTCACGTCTCCTTGTACCATTCACCAATAGAACAAGGATATTCACATAAGATCAAAAGACGCACGATAACTCTAACCTAATACAACTCACCCCTATTGTATTGTATTACATTCATAGTAAAACAATCCCCTTTTCGCAAAAAAATCTCGCAACAAATATTAAAAGATAATATACAATATTACATCTATTAAGTTACTCACTCAAGTGTAAAGAAGGACAATTGTTTTACACCAGACTTTCTTTACACTTTACACTGTACACGAACATTTTTTACTTTGCCTACATATTGCACCAACCTCTTTGGAAATAATAAATGTTTTTTAATTAATGAAGGTTGCTTTAGTTAAACGAGCAATATTTAATTTTAAATTTTTGATTTCCGAGACCTAAAGTTCGAATTCGTTATCAAACACATTATTAAGAATAAAATGTGACACGAAATACAATAATTATTGTAAGAATAATTAATTAGCAAATAGGGGCATTTCACAGAGAATAATATAAATTTATTAGTTTGTTATAACCAGTAATTATAACAAATAATATTAGATTTAAAATGTTAAAATTAATGTAGTTACTGGAAGCCCTATTGGCATTTGCGAGCCTAATCACATAGTCACATAATCACAAGATCACATAATATCTTTACACGATAGTTTTCCAAAGTTCCCGTGGGAAAATAAGTTTTAAAAACTAGGATTTAGCTATTTGTGTACAAGAGAGCATTGACTGTTTGTGATCGTAATACACACAAGATCTTTCCTACCACCATAATTAACTTATCATAACAAACAGATTAACTTTTTAGCTGTATATAAAATGTCATTTAGGTTATGTTTGTTTGTAGGTTATGTTATTTACTTACCAGTTGTTAAAGTACCGGATCCGCGGCTGAGGTTGGCGTACCCAACAGAAGCCAAACTGTGAAATCATCTGATTAGCGAGCTGGAATGATCCATTCCCATTACAGAGCAGAAATGTGCTATTTTGCGGGCGCACTGTGATAATGTGATCATTTCCATGAAGTGGTAGGAAAGTATAACCGTAGCTTTGTTCCAGGGGAGAAGAAACTTCCGTTTGAAGACTTTGTCAACATCTACATTGGTGTGAAGAACGATAAGGATATGGGTGTATACGAGGACTTCATTGAATGTTTGAAACTGTACGACAAGTTAGAGAACGGCTACATGCAACTTACAGAGCTCACTCACATGCTTACAGCCCTAGGTAAGACAAGGAGTAATAAAAATTGCAAGACTTACTCTAAAACCTGACACATAAATAAAATAAGTTAATATTTTATTTACTTACATATTTTATTTACTTATTTTTTTTATTTAACTTTATTTTTTTAACTATATATTTTTTTATTTAACTTTTTTATTTACTTAATATTTTATTTACTACAACTTCATAAATCGAAGTTGATATCAGTTGGTTTTATAGAATTTTATATAGTTGATATCACATTCCAACAAAAACAAAACCAAGATCATCAACACATCTATCCCCCATCCTTACCAACAATATAAATTGAAATTGGTTGGTCACCCATAGCCATGGTAAACCAACATTACCATAGATATAATCAATGAATAATGTTTTGCTTATGAACAGCTGTAATTTTTGACTCGATTGTCCATTTGAGGTCCAGTTTGCGGCATTGTATTCTACTTACAGAGACTTTTAATTTGATGTAAATATCAACTATGCTTACATTTAAGAATATCGGCTTACTACTCGTGGACCGTCCCCCATTGGAAGTGGAAAAACAAGATATTTAGGTCTATAAAAAGTGCGGAGTTTATACATTGACATTCTAACTTATACCGTATCGAAAAAAAGTAGGAGGGAAGGGACTTAAAACTCATCCTGTATTTATAGAGTCAAGTCATATAGAGTAAAATACTATACAATGGCTGATTTAAAATAAATATCAAGAATACTTATATTTAGAGTGTAAATTTCCTATCAAATATAACCAAATTTTAAAAGATCAAATAATAAATAGGAAGCACTGGTTGTAAATCAGCTGGTCAGCTGGTTGTTCTGTTCTATCATTAAAATGTAATATTAAAAGTTCACTTCTGTGTAAAAAATATGTCAAGTTTCTTTACCAATTTATTTGTTTTAAGGTAACTGTAGGAAAAATATAATGTGCAACTCGAGTATAAAGTGCAATTGCCTCACTAGTTGTACAAATAACATTTAATGATAATGTTTATCAACTAGCTCATAACTCTCTAAAATTGTATACCAAATTCCATAAAAATATATTTAATGGTTTTTTAATATAACAATTTAAAATACAAAAATCAAAATGGCGTATATCTCAATCGAGTCGTTTATAAACAAACATTTTATCCTTGATTATCAAAAGTATAGAAATTAATGTTGCGAAAAATGTGATTCTGCAAATAGTATTCCATCACGACATTACTGTTTTGTACGAAGAAAATAAATTTGAACAAGCCATTGAAATATGTGGAGTTGTTTTAGGAATTTTACCTACGACTGTTTTTTTTTTTTTAAGGGGAACGGAGCGAGTGCCGTTCTATTATTTGCCATGGGGGTTATAAACTGTCAAAACCGTCAGATAGGCCCGAGTGCCGTTTGACTCCCCAGAGCGTAAGAGTGATTCAGGGGAGGGGTATTAGTAATGGAAGTGGGTGTAGTGAGCAGGATGTAGTGGAGACCGGGCACAGGTTCTTAACTGGGCTACCATAATATCGATTGAAAATTAATATCAATTCGATTAGTAAACCTTTATTCAATTTTTTTATCAGCAAGTTTGGTTAGGTTAGTTAGGTTAGCGTATTATAGTAACGTATTATAGTTGGTTAGGTTATAACATTTTCATTTTATTCCTAAAACAAATTTTGCTCATCACCCCCTTGTCAATCTTTCCACCCTCATACCCCGGCGGGTCGGTCCATCATGGAACCGGTCACTGATACCTGGCTGGCACTCGCCCCGCCAAGCCTCATGCTGTAAAATGACCCTTGTCAAAGTATTTAGGCAAACGGCACTCAGTCCTGCACTCTTTTTTAACTATCCGTTTCAGTTCAGTTCTTAGAATTGAAAAGATTCACTTAACAGCATTGTTCGTTCAATTTAAAAGACGAGTAACGGACTAATGAGGTTAAAGGATTGAGAGAAAAGAAATACAATTGTATTGCTTTGAACGTCAACTAAACAGCTGTTAAGAACAATTAAATTGATTAAACAATGATTGAGTGGTTGGAACAATAAGTCGTTGCATCACATTCAGTGACAATGAGAGGTTAAAAACGAAAACATAACCTCTATTAGAAGTTATGAGTGGTGATTTTTTTGTATTTAAAAACTGTCGTAGGAAAAGTAGTGTACGCAATCGCGTAATAAGCCTTTGAGACTATCTTTACGCGATTGTTGCGTAAACTACTATTATACAACTACAAAAACGTTTTAATAATTACTAAGTAACTTCCTTATTTCAAAGTTATTTGTAACATTAAATTATACATATATTGTTTTACCTTTTGGTTAGATAGATGCCTGTTATATATGATTTAGAAACTCGAAAATGTGAAAAGTGTGCATCTTAGATAGGTTTTTTTCTTGACACTACATTTTCATTTGTATGAACTCAAATTTGACCCTTTGCATTCCTGGATTATGTAAGACAAAATGCTATTTGAATAAATACTGTACAACGTATATAGACGAGACTATGTTTCCATGCTAAAACATCGTCAACAGGTACCACTTGATTTGCAGATGTGTTTTCATGTTAAACCAAAAATAATACATACATTTCCACATACCATGGTCACGTGCTAGTGAAGCTGCATTGTCGACGCGAGGCTTAAAGTTTTTATGTTGAAGAAAGATTTTTGTGGAAATAAATGTATTGAGTCATTATAATAAGACAACACCGACGGCTTAGCAGTTATGTGAGCACTTGTTAACGAATCAATTATTATAATATAAAATATTGTAGTTATCATAATTAATTTTTATTCAGGTGTCAATCATAGAGTTACAGTGCGATCCCAAAAAGTGTATTTGAAGTAACATTTCTGTGATCTTAGGCTTGTTGTTATACAGAGTAATTTAACGTCCTTAATCTTGTTTGTGCAAAAAAAACCTTCATTGTAGACCTGCAGGCATTGCTTTTACCTCCACGTAAAGAATAACAAGTTTTTTGGGCGACTAATTACATATTGATTAATCAAAAGAATATGCAAACGGATGGATCAATTCGGAGTTTGGGGCGGATGTCTGTGCTAGCCAACTTGGAAGAGCACCAATCGCTCAATCTCTTGCGTCATACTGGGTAGTGTTAGATTCAATGCCATAGCAATGTATAGAACATTTATTTTGACGAGAAACATCATCTTCTGAGCAATGCGTTATATTTTTAACAAGCACAACAAAAACGTTATATTACCCACCCAACAAAAACATATACTTCGTTAATCTTTATCAAATAATTTTACAAAACTGCTTCAAACATTTTTTTTGTTTTCGTATAGTCTAAAATTTAGTTCAAACGTCGCATCAATGGTTGTTCATAAAGCTTGGATCATCATATGTCAATCTGTATGTATTATGAAGTCCAACAGTGATCAATCATACACATTTTATGGTTAGTATAAAACTTCAGCTGTAAAGGGGTGTTTGAATAATCCCATCTTTTTATTTGTGTCTTGACATTGCAGTTTATATTAACAACTAACTGTTTCTGTTTGCATTATAGGAGAGAAGCTGTCCAATGACGAGTTGGACGAGTGTTACGAAGATTGCATGGACGAGGAGAATGACGACGGTGAAATACCCTACATTCGTGAGTATCATCTTATCATTCATTTAATTCATGAAGACCTATCTTAATTTTAATAATATCTTTTGGCAAAAGTATTGTTTAGTGTTTCTGTTACTGATTGATTTGAATCTTCTTCGATAACTTGCTATGACTTCTTAAATACATAATTATTCTTTTTTTCTGGTTGATTGAGAGCAAATAAACCATAATTGGCTATTGTCTTCATTGTTATTGTTGTACATTGGTTTTAATTAAGACACAAATTATACATCACATCAGATGTATGATATGAGTTGAAATGCCATGTGCTGGATAATATATGATACCGACAGTTGCATACCGTACTGTATATAATTTAGTTGAACTACATTAAACATTAAACAAGTAGCATATCAAACAAAATAATGGTTTGGCACTTTTTCAACCTTGTAAAAGTGACTGGATGATAAACATACTTCAAGATGAAAAACGCTGTTTCGATTTAAATTGTTCAGTTAGAAATGCATAGTTATTTTGCATTAAACTACTCGAATTTGCTTGATTATCTCTTTAGTAAGGATCAACTATTGTTATGCTTTAATAATTAATAGCAGTAAACCCCTATGTTTCATGCTATTGATATTAATTTGCCTCGATCCGTACTATTTAAAAACACTCACGGTATATAGAAAGAGGGTTGTAAACATTACCAGTATGTTTTACTAAAAAATAATAAAAAAAAACATTTGAATAAAGAAATCAGTTAGACAGAACCTCTATTTTCTTGAGATTAAGGGTTTTGTCACAAAGGGAAATGTCCATTCTTACTGTTTCCGCAATAGTGTTTCTTCTTTTAACGAAACAGACTCGTTCATATCAGTTATGCAATTAAATTAAATTTAAAACTCTTTATTTATTCAGCCAAAGTTAGGGCCACATGGCCCTTTCTAACACTTAACCTGACTAATATGAAAGGAATAAATTACAAATGAAGAACCTAATTTAATATACATTTTTATTTAACTATAAATAGACATATTTTATATTTACAAAGCAGATATAAAAAGAAAAAAACAAATAACAGAGCAAATCAAGTAAACACACACCTTATGTTATGTATTATCAAAAGTAACCCAATGTTAGTCAAACACAGGTAGTTCAGATTAGACAAATAATGTAAAGATTATTCTTTTTATTGAATATTTTAGTTTTAGCATTAAAAATTCAATCTGATTGTCATTGTTTCAGCTTTCTTGGCGCGGATGTGTGAGAAGCCAGTTCCTAAGAACATCAAACCTGAATAGATAAGTTGCATTATGTAGGGGTTGCTGGTAGACAACAACTGGCCGGATACCATCATGGAAGGAAAGCTTACGTCAAGTTCTCAAAATATTTATTTTATATAAAAAATTGTGAAATACATGTAAATAATATGTTTCAAATAAAAACTAATTAAAAGTTATTCCAGTGACTCCCCTTGAAACTTAATGTTACTGGCCTGAAGGTAGATGTACACTGCTGCCTCAGCTGATATTTATCAGGTGATGATAGCCTGTTATTGTTCTTAGACATGTTTTTACAACGTTTGGATTTAATATTTCAGGGATACACTGCTAAGATTACAGATTTTAGTAAATACTCTTTCTGAGAGTCATATGACACACGAAATGTACATCAAGAAGAGACTGCTGCTTTGTAGCAATGATATTTAAATAAATTACTGATAAATATATAAAATAAGTTTTTATAAATTACTAATACAAAAATTGTTATTTGAATGGAATAACCATTTAAAATCAAGTGTTCTCTTCAGTAGAGTACAAGTTTATGGTTGATTTGTAGATAAATAATCTAAGTTCAAACACGTAAACTTCTTTAAAATCTGAACATACTCACTATTTTATGATCATATTATGTCCTTATAATATAGATCTTAACTGTGTGTGACTAAATTAGTTGCTTTTCCTATTTACGAGTAAATTCTTAACTACTAGTGTATTGAGAGTAAACTAATTTTAAAATTCATACACAAATGGCTTCGGTTCGTGAAAATTCTTATCTCAAAATCATACTTCTATAAGGTTCGTGGGTCAATGTTATGGAACTCGGCAGTCCAGCAATTAAGTTTATACTGAAACTTTCATATTCGATCTGCTATCCAGGTTATGCCAAAGAGATATCGCGATTCTAAACGTGTAACCTTTGAAGAGACATTCAATTCTTATTTTCAAACCAGTTTTCTTATGTTAACCAATTTTAAAATAAAAATGATCATACTTGAATTAAGCCAACGATAAATTGCACTATCATAAATTACAGATTTTGTACAAACATGCCAACTGCTTAACCAAGCCCATCTGAAAGGACAACTTTTTATAAGCTACTTATTCCACAGTTTATGTCTTATCAAATATATCATGCTCAATAGTTAAGGGAAGAATAATCGAATGTTAGAGTATGGCACGCTGACGGAAACAGCTGGTCAAAATTGATGGGATGTCACCACACAATTTTTTTACATTAGAAAAACATATTTAATGAACGAAACACAAAACGAGGGTATAAAAAGATTTTGCATTCCTATGAGCTTATTATATACAAGTTCATGTTTATTTTCTTTCAGTTGTCATAAGGTGAAAAATACACATAAATTCATGTGTGCATATTTAGAATCAAACACATCCACACAACATCTAAAACTAACGATAATCCTTAATATGTAGACATAAGAGCTCGATGTAGATAGATGTTTTTAAATTTTGAAAGGAAGATGCTGCGGCCTGTCCGTCATGAAACTCGAGTGGGCAGCGGTGGCCAAAAATAGCCGAGCTAAATTAAGCGTGAGCAACCGAAGATCTAGGCCCGTGTGCCGCTACCTGCCCGTACATGGGCATATCAAGCCATAATTGACGGGCAAACGATCGTTCACTTGTGTTTTCTCTAAGGCGATGTTTCAAAATATTGAGGACCACATTTTAGGTACTAATTTCTCCTCATAAACCTTGGCAAGATACGGCTTTGAAATCTGAATAGTCAGCAGATTTTTCTTGAATTGAAATTTGACTGATATGCCTACTAAATTAACTATTACAGGGTATTATTCTACAAGAATAATTCCTTGGTGCTCGTATTTTGTTAATGTTTCTGTGTAACCAGAGGAGGTTCGAAAGGTTTTTCATTGAATTAATTAAATGTAATTAAGTTTTCAAAATTTAATTTTCAACACACCACAAATATGTTATTGCCAAAAGAAACTTAATATCTAAAACGCCCTTCACACTAATTATATTTCAGAACCATTACATATTTTATAAGGTTGTAGGTGTTGATGTTCTACGATTCTATGTGTAGTAACTGATTCAGAATTTCTTATTCCATGTGAGGTTCTGTAGTTTCAAAAAGGACGTTATAGCAATAATAAAAACCTATTAGTATTTGTCAGTAGCCGTATCAAGCCAACGATTAAAACTTCAAACAGATTAACTCAAATTTTCAAAACCACAATTATTCCTATTTTGCACATACCTGAATACATTTGCACTTTTATATTGGATCGAAATCGATCTGCGTTTTAATAATATTGAAAATTGTGAGTTTTTACCAAAATCTATTTTAAACTTATAATTAGTTAAGATGCTTCGTCCAATTCATGATAATACATGATATATATATTATGTATCACCATGAATTTGACAAATGTATATAGGCCTATTAAAAAACCCCCGTAAAACAATCTTTAACTATAATATGATTCAGATACTATTTACTTTACTTGATCTCTTTTTAACTCGTTCCACAGAGACAAAAGAGTCAAACGAAGTTTAAATAAATCTTTTCAAGAAGGGTATGTTTGCAATGCTTGTCTATAGTCTAAAATTAATTTCTGTGAGGTCCAACTAGGGCATTCTAGAGTCTGATGCGCAGGTCCAGAGGTAAGCTGCAGCCACTTTGGCAACAATGGACTGGCACGGTCCTTCGCGATGGATTCTGCGCTTCAGCACCACTTAATTATACAGCAACATAAAATAAATAAGATTGTTTTTAAAATAATGGTAAGGAGTACATGGAAAAATTAAAAGTTGAATAGCATAAATTAACGAAAACTTAGCTAGGATGTACAAGTGTATGACCATTAAAAGTAATAGAAACGCAAATTTTCCCTATTTACTAGTTTAAAGATTATTTACGCGAGTTACGTACACTACTTTACCTACGACTGTTTTTTATTACTAACAATCACTACTCGTAAAATCTAAGAGAGGTTATGTTTTCGTTTTTAACCTCTCATTGCCACTGACAGTGATGCAAAGAACATTGTACCAAACATTAATTGCATCACTCTACAATTAAATTGGCCTGAACAGCTGATTAGTTGAAGATCGAAACATTACAATTTTACTTATTCTCTCTTAATCCTTTCCTTGAACCTCATTGGTCCGTTACCAGTGTTGTTAAGTGAATGCTGTTAAGTGAACTGAGCTGAAATGGCTAGTTTATAAAACGGTTGTAGATAAAAATATCTATCCTCAAGGATATGTCACCTCACCCTCATGGATCTTTGTGGCTAATTTTCAATAGATACTTAACCGATACAATAAAAACTGTTTGCCTATTTGATACATATTGTTTCGTTTAAAAATATTGTGTTTATCTCCTCATGCCAATCCCCTTTATAAATAATATGGTGATAAATGTTAACCTGAGACCTGACAACACCTCTCAATTTAATACAAAAATAATATAAAAGGTCTTTATTTTTCATCAAACTATAATTGGTTTTTATACAGATTTATATTTGTTTATGGTTGTATACATACATATGGCAATAAAAATAAAAATGAAGTACAAATTAACAGCTATATGATTCTTCCCTTAATTGCTAACTCAAATGTGCTATACGAATTGCAATTGTTTGTGAAAAATATTAACATGGCAACGAGCATGATTAAGTTTCTATAATTTTTTTAAGTTTTTGGTTCCAGAGAGAATCTTTAACTGTACATACAAATAAACGTTCCTATACCCAAACGTTCCTATACCCAACCTCAAGCCATGTTGTAGATCTAGTTCACGATTTGAACAACTTATTACATATGCTTATGATAAACTAACTTATGCTTAACAAAAGATTACGTTCTTCTAATAGGGCCTTATGAGATTTATGCAAATGTTTATTACATAACAATATATGTTACCGGCATAGTATATCAAATGTACCAGGCGTTCTATAAAATGTCTAAAATAAACCAGGCAAAAAATGAAATAAATACTAGTAAATAAATAAAATAATACAGTATGTATTATTATGTGTTAATACATATTGAAATATGTATGAACATTTAGTATGGGATCTGGCAGGTTGGTGAACATTAAAAAATAATGGTTATTGATTCGCCCGTTTAATCCAAATTTTATCAAAATCGGAGAAACGAAGGACTTATTTGTTTCTGGTAACCATAAAAATTAAGCACTGCGCTGCCGGGCTAAGTCTTTCCTCACAGACTACGGTTATAAGACACGTTCTTCTCTATACTGTATGAACAAGTACTGAAAAAAAAAAACAACAGAGCTTAACTCTTTATTGAATCGGTTGATTAAAGTGCAAACTTACAACATACTCTCGTAGGGTTGTGCTGATCATAACACTCTATATGTGCAAAAACATTTCAGTCTGCGAGGTGTAGCGATATGCTGGACGCTCTGGAGAACACCTTCCACGTCCCGGCATACCTCATTCGCACCAAGAGGATTATCTCCGCTTCCACCTCCTCATGTATGACACTATGAGTCTCACTTTTTATGCTGTTCCATACTAAGTACGGACCTCTGGAACGTTGTCTACGACATCCTCCTGAGCTCTGAAATGCCTGAGGAAACCATTTTAGTTGGGTACGCTGATGACATTGTGGCTTTGATAGCTGCTCGTAGCGTTGAGCTCATCCACATTAAACTGAGTTGAGGCATATCAACAATCAACGCATGGATGGAAGATTACGGTCTTTTGCTCGCTCTGAGCATAACCGAGACGGTTTATTCTGACCTAAAAGCGGATTGACGTCATCGTTCCACTGAGGGCGGGGGACGTCGAAGTGTCATGGTGGACAGTATGCTTAGCTGGTGGGACCAGATCTTCTTCATGATATTCGGTGACAATGCCGATAAGGTGATTCCTTCCCTTATCGGTTAGTTAATGGCGAATGTCGGAGGTCCTCAGTCCAGTCGCAGAAGTCTGTGGATCAGTCCGTATTCCTATACGGTGCGGAACTGTGGACAAACGCACTCAACAAGGAGGTATACAGGATTCTGCTCGCCCGTGTGCAGCGTCAGGCAGCATTTAGTGTAGCATCCGTCTACCGAACAGTGTCAGAACCCTCCGTCCTGGTGATTGCTGGAGTCATCCCCGTAAACTTTCGGCGGCGGAGAGGAAGGCCATATATCAGCAGTGTGGGGAGGGCCATGCAAGAACAGATGGATTCACCCCGCCTTCCGGCTCTGGCATGAGAGCTGGGGACATGAGACGCGTGGACGCTGGGCCAGGTCCAACCATGGTTTGGTTGATCAGCGGTACGGAGAGGTGGATTATTGCCCAGTTTCTGACGGGTCACGGCTTTTTCTGGTCGTACCTGTTTGAGAACTCCTGACGACACGGACATGCTTTCTTTTGCTACCCATGTTGGGAAAGGCCCCTCCTGGAGGCTAAGAACATGTAGAGCAGTTGTTGGTGGACACGTTCATCGAGATGATGACGGCGGGGACAATTGGACCTGTGCCTGTGCGTCACACTTCATCCAGGGTATTCTCCGCACCAAGAAGATCAACCTTGGCCAGGATGCGGTCTAGGTCATAATGGAATTGAATGCCAGAATCACACGTTGACCTGACCTGAAGTCTGAAGTAATGTGACAAACAATCCCACGCCTGAACCAAAAGGTGTAGTAGGGTATTTATTTTGTGAGTAGCCTGATAAATTTAGGAGTCTCGCAGAACTGGCGGACCCCTCCTCTCCCTAAAAACAAAATATAAAATATAAATGAGTGTTTTTAATCAACGTACATAACCAAAGGAAATCACCATTGATAGTTATGCCTTATTATACGTAATTTAGATGGCTTCAATGGGTTTTTACTTTGATTGCATAACAATCTTAACCTAAGATAAAAATGTTTTACTTTACACAATTTTAAATATGGCAGGTCTTCATTATTTAATATACATTTCAATTACTATTACTGACCAATATCAGCCTATCATCTGTCCATAGTAATTGTTAAGAGTATAATGATCAAAACCAACTTGTAAAACGAATGAATTTGTTGCGAACTAGCCCTTGGGAAGGAGGTTTTGTTTCCTCCAAGTAAAATTTTTGTTTTTGAGAATGTCAAACTGTTTTTGATACCATTAAATACCGCTTAAAATTACAAACAATTAAGTATGTTAAATTTGTTTCTCTCGACGTTGTTACTCATGCTATCCCCATAGGGAGAAACGATTAATAGCTGTATATTTGTTCATTGATACGTCTTCGTAACATTTCTCAAATTTCTTTAATCTTATTCTTTTCAAGTTCAATGAAAACAACAATTTTGTTGAATATTTTAATTAAGGACCCAGAAACATTATGTAAAGCTTACCACATTGATATAGCCTTCTCAATTAATAGTACTTTACAACCTTTTCCGACTAGGCCTACTACTGGCCTAATTATTTGAGCACATCAGTCTAGCAACGTTTACAGCCAGTTTAGAAGTTAACTGTTTGATTCAACTTAAACTTGACCGAGAAAAGCGACGCAGGACATCCGCCAACATCCTCATTCCTTCTTTCTGGCAAGTCCCCCGTCAAGTCTTAAGTGACCGCGTGGATTCTGTGCAGTTAAAGAGACCTCTAGGAAGAATCAAGAACCCTATCTACTCTCAGTTCCTTTGGATCCTACAGCATGGTAAGTGGACTGACCGTTAGTGGTTTATGATGTGAATGTGATATGGTTTAAGTTCTAATAATTCAATCAAAATAATATACCTTAAATCTTAAATTTTGATTGTTTCTTATTTTAAAGCATTGTTTTTTATTCATACGAACATTAAACAATGGATACAGTTTACTTAGCTGCAACAAATCTAAATTTCAGTATTATGCGGTTATTTAAAAAAGTTGGGACGCTGAAATGTAGAAACTTATAAAATACTGTTCCCTAGATATTCACGGTAAAAATATAACCACGCAAAACTATGAAATTAAACTTTATGTGGGGAATATAAATTTTTCCTATTACTGTGGATCCTAAAGGAAGTCATTTAACCACAAACAAGTTACATTGATCGGGGGTCTGTTGTAAATGGTATTGAAACCACAAATTCACATTATATTTCCGAATATTTTTTAAGCTCCAACTCCAGCATTATTGCCATGTAATTTGTAATACATATTCCAAGAAAAATAAAAATAATTATGATACAAATCCGGTATCCTGTATAGTATAACCAATATCAGTTTTCCCTTGCAGCTTTCGCACCGGTATGTGTTTTCACTCAGGCTGTGTGTTTGTGCCTACTTAAGCAAAGTAAATAAAAATAAGAGTTCACTATTGTCCATCGAACAAACATTTTTCTTCCTAATAACATTCGAGCTACAAAAACGTTTCATGCCGTTATTTTCTGAAGCAGATTAAGTTACGAATGTGTTTGTTATTGCCATAGAAGGGCTCAACCTTTGCAAGTATGTGTAAACGTTTGATCTTTCGGACTTAACTAGATGCATATTTTGTTGCACAAACCGTGCAATCAGTTAAGTTACAGTCGTTTTATCACATGATTTTTCAGCCGGGAAAGGAACAAATATTTTAAATTGATCAAAATATTTAGTTTTAAAAGTGTCAAATTAGAGCTAGCGTCCATTTTGAACCGAATCATAGTAACTTGTAGTTTCTTTTGTATCATGTGTTAATTGGCGTTTTAGGGCTACATTCTCTTTCAAGGTACCGGAAACAATTGCTAATATGTTTAGGTAAAATTTTATGACTTAAAATTGTTGTTTTATTTTGTAGCTTTAATTTAATAAATAAAACTATATTGAGCCTTGAAGAACCCAAAACAAGTTAACACCAAGCAGAAATAAACTACGTAAACAATGTAACAAAATGACCCTGGAACAAATATATTTATAATAGATGATAAACATTACTAACAAAATTATGGTTTTGCGCCCATGTCTTTCTGGGGTTTTAGCAAATTTTAATTTTATTCATGTTGAAGCCTTCCGGAATTGGTGATCAATTATAACAGGTTACGTACCTTGACGTCCACAATTCCTCAGTCGAACTTCCGTTGACTAGTTTCGACTACTAAGTAGTCATTTTCAAAACGGAACGTTAAAATATTTCATTTGACGACATTCAATGAAAGAAATATTTTAACGTTTAGTTTTGAAAATGACTACTTTTAGTAGTGGAAACCAGTAAACGGAAGTTCGACTGAGGAATTGTAGACGTCAAGGTACGTAACCTGTTATGACAAATTTTCATACGAACTACATAAATAGAATGCTGAACTATTCCAATCCCATGGAGCAAAAATTATTAAAGCAAAGATATTTTATTGAACGTCCAGAAGAAGTTTAACAAGTTTACGGGTTGTTTATATTTGTAAATCGATCTCTTTTACTCATCGAAGTGGCTGTACATTCCTATAAAAGTGTTTGTTTTAGTACCTACATAACTAACACAAATAATTACATAGGTAATGAGTTTGAATCTTGTGTTTAAACAATTTTCTATATTGAATCTATTACTGCAAGAGGGACATCGATTGTGTTGCGTAGGAATATAGGTTTCAATTGTATCCAGGGAAGGATTTCAAATATCTCCCAAATATTCTTTCACTTTAATGAACATTTGTTCCAAAAAATGAATGTTCTTGTTTTAAATTTAGAATAACCTTTTTCGATTGGTTTAATTTCTGATTGAAGACTTCTCGTATAAGACATTTGAAATTCCAAAATACAAATCCCAAATTTCCGTTGACAGCATCTCTTTTCACTTGAGGACGCACGGTTTAAAATTTTGCAACATCAATTAATTATGGTGAGTCGTTGGCTCAGTCGGTAGCGCGACTGACTTTGGATCCAAGGCAGTGATGTCGCACACCCTTGTACTATCTCACCCCTTGCTTTGTTGGATACGTTCCATGCTCGGGCCAATACGAGGATAAAATAGGCCGCAAACTTCTGAAAAGAAGATTTGAGTAATTTGTATGAATAGTAAAAATGCAATTTTGACCTAGTGGCGTCATTTCACCAAATCCTTGAGGGGGGGCAAACACCGGGGGTATGGGGTGTTGTGGAATACCCCCCAGCAAACGGAGGGGGGAGGGTGAGAAAATGTTGCAGTTTTGAAACTAAAAAAGAGGGGTTTAAGCTTACTTTAATTGTCAAAAGCACTTCGAATAAAAACAAAATTACGAGTAAAATGTATTTATATTTAGACAGAAAATTAATGAAACTAACAATTATTGGCAACAGACAGAAACATAATAACATGTTGGTAAGTTAGTCATTTAAGAAACGTGATCAATAGTTTCACGGTGTATTAATATTATATATGATATTAGATTTATGGCCAACTACTCTTGTACAACATTTTAGAACTATAGCAATGAATACGGTTGTATTCATAGCCTATAGCTTATAACAGTTCAATTTGGTTTTAAAATAAAACACAAGTATTTAAGTACTTAAAAGCGAATCAAATTTTATTATCAATAAAATAATTTTACACAAAAGTACAAAAGGTTCTATTTACCTATATTAAACTGGTAGTCTACAATGTTCAAAATTAATTACGTAAAATCTATACACGTGTATAATTTTAATGCTTGAATAATTCATAAAAGTAAATGACAAAGCAATGCTTCTAAAGAGATCTGCATGTTTATGTATATATAAACTAGTAGTAAGTGGTTGATCGTACAGAACCAAACAGAAAAAGTAAATGAATATCAAAACTACTAACTTATGTAAACTCAAAATGTGCTACTGAGACAATAAAAAAATAATATTTTTGTTTCAAATTACTGTAGAAGAATAGGCAGATTTTTGTCTGCCGTGATTTTTAGGATTTGGCAGGAGAAAATATTTGTATATTAGCTAGTACAGCATATTTTTTCTCTAGACCAGGAACCAGGTAAATGCCCCCCTGCCCCTCCCCCCCAAATTGACACCCCTGTAATAAATGTCAGAGGAAAATAAATTTATTGGTTGTAAGCACATCAACTAACAAAATGACACATGATAACAACTACTTATTCCAATACAGGTTCTTACAAACATTTTATGTTTTGATTGCTACAGAGAACTTTTACAATATTAATACGAGTATATTTTGTCAGAAGTGATATATGGCTTTGGTTAAGTACTATAATATTCTTTGTTGTATTAACCTCTTTGGTATGCATTGCCACAGAGGTATTTATAATGTCACTATGCTCTTTACTATTGGTGGAAATCCCCTTTTGTTAAGAATTAACTTCTGACTAAATTTATTTTAACGGAGATTTCTGTCGACTCTGAAACTATTCTCAGCCAGAGTACTGCAGATATCTCGCGTATATTACATTTAAACTTTGGAACACTTTTTAAAAGTGCTATATAATATTTTTATATTCATACAAATAAAAACCTTGAGTTTCATTAAAATGATTACACAAATGAAAAAAAGTAAAAAAAATATCTTAACAAAACACACAGTTGTTTTTCTTTATAATTAGTAAAAACATATGAGATGTATATATATTGTAATTGTCCTTTAGTAAATCAGGAGCTCTAATCAGCCACCGGAAAGTTAATGTATTCCTCACTGGTAAAACATATTACAATTAAACATAAGGAACGTCATTCAAAGCATTTTTGGCATCCGTCTACTTCAGTTGCTCCAAACCTTTTATTTGATAACTACTTTATTTGATAACTGTTTGATTAATACTTTTAATAACCTTTTATTTTATGCATACATATCTTCTCTCAAAACTCACTTCTAGAAATCACACTACAGTGTTAATAATCTAAAGCATCCCATTATCATTTTCCTTATTGCTCAACAAAAGATTTCAGGAACAACAGCTTTTAGAGGGATACACTATAAACAGTTAGAGTTATAGGATGCTAACCTGAAGGAATATGATTTCATATAGACTTGTTGTTATTAAAGTTAAGCACTGACCTTTGATGGTGGTAAAAGAATACACAAATATTTCTCACCTGTTTTGTCTTCAGTTACTCTTTAATGTTTTAAGAGTGTCTGAATCATTTGAGACAATCTGTAACAACTGGATATTATGCTTTATCTCTATTTTCAGTCATCAAGGAGATTTGGCCGAGAGACCAAAACTGCATCATCAGAAATCTCGAGCCCATTTCCTAGTGCATTTCAGTCCAAGTTTTCAGACCTTGAGCTAGAAAGTAAGTGACATTTGGTGTAAGAGTATGAAGTGGTATCACTTTATATGTATGTAAAGCCAATTAACGGATCACGAACTTTTGAGAAACCCGTGAGCTGCACTCCTATCAACCACCACATAGGCTACTTGAACGAAAGGTCTTGATGTGAAACTTCCCCGAGAAATATAAGTTTTTCGTTAAACCCTCTCCTAAGGGCACAAACTTCAAGTAACTGTATTTAATCATATTTGAAACATTGGAGATGCATCAGCTGTTGGATTTGTTTGAATTTACATTTAGTTTGTTTACTTCTTCCATGTATTAATCTTTCCATTCTCATTACTTATGTTTACATCACAAAAATTAATTAGTTTTGATTCTCCAACACTGTTTAATGAAATACAAATGAGATTTCATTGAAATAAGCAACAAGTACGATTGAGATTTTTCTGTTTCTACCATTATTGTTATTATTCTCTTGAGTATTCTTGCCCCGTTGCGAAGCATTGACAGCTAGTTAATTTAAAGAATAAAATGAGAGAAAAATCAAATTATATTTGTAATCATTGGTTTGGAATTTAGTTTAAGTTACTGTAATTTGTTTGTAATCACTTAGAAAATTTAAGTATATATATAATCCAGTAAATTTGTATTTAAATTCACTCATAGCGAGAAAGTTTTGGGGTAGTTTTGATTTTTTCAATTTCTTATGTATTTTGGGGTGCTGAATCCGAATCTGAGGTTTGCCAACAAAAATTCTTGACGCAACATTGACAAAAATGAGAAAAATATGGAAAACATGAAATTTTTTGTAATATTTAGCTTATAACTCAGAAACTATCAACTTTTTGTAATTAGTCTATATTATAAAAATTAAAGTACACAAAATTCGCTACAAAATGTACCCCTAATGTGGTAATCTCCGATGAACCGTTTAGGCTCCAGAGCTATTTGAAAATTGGAACATTTTGTGTTAGTTTTTAAATTTCTCTAATTATTCTGTCAATCACACATATTCATTGTATATGCCCAGGCAAAGGTCTTATATAAATCCAAAGTGTTAAAATTGATTAATTTTGTGTTACTGAACCGTTGACTTTTTATTTAGTGTACAGAAAAGTTACACGAACTGTTGCCGTTTAAATTATCCTCGCTCAGAGGGTTGTAATGAGGCAGGTTCTGGTAAACGTTTCGATGCATTATTTGTGAGCATTCTAGCTTGTTCATCTGGACAAAAAAGGTTAAAAGTAAAAAAAAATTACACATAATAATAAGTGATACCAAAATCATAACTATCAAAATTAAAATAACACCAATCTGTTAATCATGCAATATCGTATGCACCTGATGACGTGATATTTAGATATACGTAAATAATAAAATGTTATGTATGCATATACTGTTGCCAAGCATTTACATTGTGTGTAGATTTAACAAGTTAATAAATAAAGAGATGTGCGTTTGGTACTATACTTACTTTCTTACTTACTTAGACTCTAGCATCACAGCCCATTGTACATCCTCAATCGTATTGGCACCCATTATAAAATTTTTTGTGTAAAATTTCAAGACCGATGCATGGCTTAGAGTGATTGGCACTGTTACCATAGGCCAATACTAATTTTTTTTTCACCCGAATGTAAATGTAAACTCTAAGCGAGTTATGTCCACACAGCTGCTTGAGTTGGGGGCAGTGAGGCAACGTTGGTTTTAGTTTTCTAGCCAAAATTTGTATTGGCTATCTTAAGTCAATTAACCCTTACCACTCTCATGTAGGCCTATGCCCTACGCCCTAGGACCTACAATCTATTTAATCTACACACAATGTAAATGCTTGGAAACAGTATATGCCTACATAACATTTCATTATTTACGTATATCTTAATATCACGTCATCAGGTGCATAAGATATTACATGATTAATTGATTGGTGTTATTTTAATTTTGATAGTTTTGATTTTGGCATCACTTATTATTATATGTGTAATTTTTTTATACTTTTAACCTTTTTTAAATTGTCCAGATGAACAAGCTAGAATGCTCACAAATAATGCATCGAAACGTTTGCCAGAACCTGCCTCATTACAACCCTCTGAGCGAGGATAATTTAAACGGCAACAGTTCGTGTATCTTTTCTGTACACTAAATAAAAATTCAACGGTTCAGTAACACAAAATTAATCAATTTTAACACTTTGGATTTATATAAGACCTTTGCCTGGGCATATACAATGAATATGTGTCGTTGACAGAATAATTGGAGAAATTTAAAAACTAACACAAAATGTTCCAATTTTCAAATAGCTCTGGAGCCTAAACAGTTCATCGGAGATTACCACATTAGGGGTACATTTTGTAGCAAATTTTGTGTACTTTAATTTTTATAATTTAGATTAATAACAAAAAGTTGATAGTTTGTGAGTTATAAGCTAAATATTACAAAAAATATCATTTTTTCCATATTTTTCTCATTTTTGTCAATGTTGCGTCAAGAATTTTTGTTGGCAAACCTCAGACTCGGATTCAGCACCCCAAAATACATAAGAAATGGAAAAAATCAAAACTACCCCAAAACTTTCCTGGTAAAAACACAAATTAACTGAATTAATAATACTAATTTGGCTTCGTATAATGTGTTTGTAATCAATTCTTAAGATTAGCTTAATAGTACAGGTAAAATAATACAAAAACACTCCATATAAACAACAAAATTTGTACATTCATAAAGTTTCACCTGTGAGTTACTAATAATATGAGAAATGAAGATCCGATGAGTCCCCAAAATTTTGGGCGTCCTAAGGCCCTTTTTGGGACCCTTTTTGTTCCGAAGGGCCCTTGTTCCTGAATAATTTTGTTTTTACGTTTAAGGTTGAGTGAGGTGTGGTTTTCGATGGTTTTAGTTATTTTAAATCGATTGGGACTAGTTTTAAGTGTATTAAACACTCCATACAGGGTGTTTCGAAATATTATTACTTTTTACGATAGGTATTTAAACATTTATTCATAAAGTGATAAAATTAGTTACCTCCATGCTTTATATAAAACGGGATTATTGAAAATAATTGTAATTCTTTACTATATAAGAGGGAAGGATCACAATGAGTAAGAGAAAATATTAAATACCCTCGTCACAGCAAACCTGCAGACTAAGCGAATTTTCATTACAACTATTTTCAATAATCCCCTTTTATATAGAGCATGGAGGTAACTAATTTTATTACTTTATGAATAAATGTTTAAATATCGTAAAAAGAAATAATATTTCGAAACACCCTGTATGGTGTGGACACACTTGTGGTGGGATACACTTAAAACTACTCCCAATTGATTTAAAATAACTAAAACCATCGAAAACCACACCTCATTCGACATTAAACGTAAAAACAAAATTATTCAGGAACAAGGGCCCTTCGGAACAAAAAGGGCCCCAAAAAGGGCCTTAGGACGCCCAAAATTTTGGGGACTCTTCGGATCTTCATTTCTCATATTATTAGTAACTCACAGGTGAAATTTCATGAATGTAAAAATTTTGTTGTTTATAAAACCCTATTTTACCTGTACTATAAGCTGAAGTTTAGTAAGTATTGGTTAATATTAGTACCTGTTTAATGTAAAGGATAATCACCAGATGTAGTTGATAATGTTCACATACGTATTCAAGTATTGAAATGCAAAAAACAGGTTAATAAATAAAAATCCAAACAAATTTTTCTATTAAATCTATTGTTGATCTATGTCATTCAAGACGTTGTCTTTATTTTTTCTTATACCATATCCCTAAATGAGCTCTTCAGTATATTTCATTAATGTACATAATCCCAGCACGCACCAATCTACTATTATCATTATTATTTTGATAGCCTTCAATTCGACTAATCTTCAAAAATTATGACAAAAAACAATTTCAATTTTAAAAATAAAGTAGGTATTAGGTTTTCATTTTGCTTTATTTACTGTTTTATTTTTCAGAGAAGAAACGTGACGAGTACAAAGTCCAAGAGAAAGAACTCGAAGGTAACTACAAATATATATACAAAATATATAAAGATATATATATTATATATGCAAATATATTTTACCATAGATATAGTCATCCATCGTCCATTAAAGCAATCTTACCCCAATTACAGCTTTTTTCAATAATTTAAATAGCAAAATAATATAGAGGGTGTTTCCTAACTCTCTACCAACCTTTTAAGGCATTATTTCAAGGTTCATAATAAATTTAAATATCACATTTTAATCATCATTTTTAAGTCAATGGTTACTCATAGAGACGCCATTTTGTATTTTTCAAACATTTTTTTCAATAACTGTGAAACTTATAACATTGAGATTTTGCATGAATCTTTACCCTTCGTGCCCGTCTTTGATTTTAAAACAAGATCAGTGACAAAAGTAGTTTTTTTCGCGTGTAGATTAAAAGGTCAAACGATGCAATTTTATGCAACACCAACCCCACCGCAGCAAACCTGTAGACTAAGCAATTTCCATTTGCTTGATTTCATTTTCACTTAAATCTATTTAAATAACATTAGATCCAACGAGTACCTAGGTTCCCTGCTAGAGGGAGGGTGAAAAGTGTATACTAACATTTTAACAGCTTAGTATAAAATAAATAAATTTAGCAAGTTTTTTTCAAAATAAATCCACAAACAAGCTAACTACAACAGTTTACTTATTCTCCATAAGAATAACATGAGAATTATAAATTAACAATTTTCTCCATAACCAATAACCGTACAAAAACACTTCAATGTACTAAATGGGAAATTCACTAAAAACGTATCATAACCATGTATAATCAATCAATAAAATTGTACGCGAATACATGGTTAAAAAAATTAGCAAAAAAAAACAACAACACCATAGGTGACACACGGAACTACACTTCGGGTATCTACATCTTCTTAACTACGCAACTCTTCAGGCTTCAACAGGAGCCTCAAAGGAGCCCTCAGGAGGGGCTTCAATAGGGAGTTGTGCGGGCAAAATGATGTTCAATCTGTTCAAGAGAAAGGGGCACCTGAGGCAATGTTACTCTTAAAACTACACATTTTTACTAATAACACACATTTTCCTGTTAAAACAAATACGCTCGGAGGAAAACTCCGTGGTGTCAACTATGACATATTAATGACGACCGTGGTGTTATTTTACCAGCGTCACTTACATTCGAAAAATAATATCAATATTTTAAAATGTAAAAATTAAAAATGGTGGCCATTTTAATTTTTGTCAACATGAGTAACTTCAAACCCTTATATCCTATTTATAAACACACAGGAATTATGGTTTCATTGGAAATTCTTCAGAAATTGTTTGAAGACGAACGTTAAGACACTTATCAGGGAAAATCCAATCAAAAATAGCCAAGATGACATTTTTTGTTGCGCGCGCATCAGTGTTAGCCATAATAGTTCGTTGGTTGTCCATTGATCTACATTAAAGGCATGTACCACAAAAATGTGATAATTCCGTTATTTTTTACTGGATTTTCAAAGTTGAGGTGCCATTACGTTTGTCTTATGATTTCCAATAAAACGGTATCCCTGTAATTTTTTAAATAAGATAACCGTTTTAAATTTAAACGTTGGAAAACGTTATTATTATATTCAAATGTTAGTGATCTAATTAATGATATATTACAATCCACATAAAATTGCAAAGCTATCACGGATAATGAGAAAAATGCAATGTTAAAAAAATGCAAAATGGCTGTTCTGTGAGAAACTTGACCTACAGATCACTGTAAATATAAATAAAGATAAGTAGGCCTAATGGATTGTCACTTGGTTTGTATATAGCATAATGCGTTTTGTAATTTTGGTAGTCCTGCTGTCGGTTACTGAATATTGTGTGTACTGTGTGTGAATTATGACTGTGGTGGTGTCTCAAATGTAATCCGTTTGAATCTTAAGGTGTTTAAATCTTTTACCACAGATAAAGCAACTAAAACTAAGTATTTCCTGCTTGTCGCCACCACTGGCCAGGAGATGGGTTGCTTTTTGATCCCAAATGTTTTTTTTTTATTTAGCAATCCACGCAGTATTCAACATCTATGACATATACGGAGAGGGGAAAATAGACAGCAGCTTGGTACCTGATGCGCTCAGAGCCCTAGGGCTAAACCCCACTCTTGGACTGGTCGAGAAGCTCACTGGATCCAACAAACCTGGTTTGTAATACTCTTTTGTGACCTTATTGATAGGGTTTTTTTAGAGTCAAGTGTAGTCAAATTTGATTAAATACATAAGTTTACATTTAGTATTGAAAAAAATGTATACATATACAATTTTTTTATCATGACCCCACTTTTGGCATTCGTTTTCAGTGGATGGGCTTTAATAGAGAAGGTAGTGCTGGTGGCATGTGTGTCTCATAAAGGGCATATGCACCATCAGTCAAACACCACCCCCAATCTGTTGGATCTGCTGGTGAACTATTTCCACGCCATACTTCTTGAACCTGATGGTACACCCTTAGGCCGTGGTAGTTTTCAATGTGTTTTTAAATTGTCAAAGTACGAAACGTCCATAAGAAATGTATGGGGGAGAGTATTCGTTTTTATATATCTTAAAACCGAAAAAAACCATTTAAAAACTGATTTCAGCTTTGAAATCAGCGTGGAAATCTAGTTCATAATTATGTGTCACAACACTATAATTACATTTAAAATATTTATATGGGAGATCCAAGATGGTGGCCCAAAAAGCATCCCCTATCGGAATTAAGCACGGACCATCCAATAAATATTGGCGGTGGTCCAAAGTCAATATCTCGAAAAATGTGCAAAAAAACGTGTGGTATCTTTTTTTGCAAAATTTGTCCAATATTGGGAAAAGCCGCCATTTTTTATCACTAATTTAGGGGTTTCCCGTGGACAGTTTTTTTGCTACTTTTGGTATGTCACTCTGCACACCACAACAATAAAAATAAAACGTTTACTTGCAAATATTTATACGATCCCTGTGTATATTTTTTAGTTTGCTCTTGGACTATTTATAAAAAATATTTTTATTTTATTATTTCTACGGGATTTAATTTTAGTTGTGGGTACATGTATTTGGTATCATTTTAAAGATAATTTCAGGAGGAACATAAAGTGTATTAATGACTTTTCACCAATATTGACTGGAAAGTCAGAATTTCAATAAAAAGCAAAAAAACAACTGGATTTTGCCGCCATTTTGGAAAAATGTTGGTGTTCCACCAAAGATATTTTTGGGGACTTTTGATATGTTATTCAAAATACTTTTCACTATCAAACTACAATGATTTCATCTGTGTTCTAATTATTTCTAGGTCAAACCATATATTCAAGGGCCTAATAGATAAAGTTTGTAAACAAATAACACCACATCAAACAAAATGGAATGTCCGTTAAAATAAAATAAAATAAACAAGGTAGTATGACAAAATGATAACATAAAATTACATTAAAAAAAAGTTACCTTGTACGAAATAGCTCCGGGGGGTGGGGCTATTCCGTACAGTAGAAGGGGCTATACCGTACAGTTCAAAAATCATTTGCTTATGTTAGTAATATAATAGTACTGCAACAAATTATTGTACAAACACTTTTTATTACTGCATAAAGGTTGTAGTTAAGAAACAGTGTATTACAATTTAAACATTTTAGAGGAAATTACATTTCAAAAATCAACCTTCATGAAAAACATGAAGTTTATGAAAAAAGTTATAACATTTCATCCCAAAATTAAAATAAAGAAGAAAAAGTCCACAAATGTAGTTTTCTGCAGACTCCGCAGCACTGCAAGTTGAATGGACCCACCCTGAACATGAGCAGCACCCTGGATTTGTACCAGAGCTGTACGGTTTAGCCCCAATCTGTACCTCGTGGGAATTTATAAACATAAACTCAAATTTTATCACTTAAGCAATCATCGCTAATAACCAAAAGAGAGCTTAAGAGATGTAGTTTATTATGATCTCACAGTTAATAGACTACGATAAAAAGCTACTTCACTAACTTTTTATTTAGTACTGGACGAAAATTATAAGCAAGTGAGTAAAAACATGTTTTTTTACTGAAACATTGAAACTAGCACACATAGCAAAACGATTTTATCGAAAATGACGCAGCGAATCGAAATGCCGATCTGCTTTTATTACCTCATAGGAAACAACTTATGAAACCGATAGATTAACAAAGATATTTCGCAAACTTCTTAATGAAAAAAATTGGATATCACTCTATTGCGTCTATTCATGCAATGTAGGAGAAATCGATATAGGCCCTAAGGACCCGTCTCGAAGTACTCGTAATTTCAAACTACTATAATATCTAACTAAAACTATAAATTAGCGTATCACGAATTCAGTTAGTACAATTTACTCATCCTTTCACCCAAATTCACGTTTCTTGTAATAGTAGGTAGTTTACGCAACGATTGTGTTAAGTTAGTCTTTACGACACGAGTAGAAAATTTAAGGCACGAGCCTTGGCGTGTGCCTTAAAAACTTCTACGAGTGTCGTAAAGACTATTAACGCGAGTTGCGTACACTACTTTACCTACGACAGTTTTTTAATAACTAAAAATCTGGTTTTTATTACTAACAATCACTACTCATAACTTCCTAGAGAGGTTATGTTTTCGTTTATTGTCATTGTCACTGAAAGTGATGCAACGACTTATTGTATAATCAGCTGATTTCATGTAATTACGTGTTTGTAAAACTTTGTTAAATAATACGTTACTTTTTCAGGCAATAGGTTCTGCTAGCAGCATTCTTACCATAAATACTGTATCAGGTACAATTAGGGAAATATTGCATATATTTTTGGACAACTGAATAATATAGTGAAACAGTTAATTTACAGTTAGATGTCAGCATCGAACATGTGGTCCACAACGAGTTGGGTGAAAAAGTGGTTAAGAGGTTTTCAAAATAAACTAGAAGAACATTTTCATTTATCAATTTAACCTTATTTTGTTTCGTCCATTTAATGAATTGCTGCTATGTAATTGCATAAGGTACCTTTGTTTTGATTTTGGTGGCAAAAGATTAGCACAAACAGTTTGTGCTCTCATTTCTATCTCGTCAACATCACTTTCACTAACTGATATTTTAAAATCAACCTTCATTTAACTTCCACCAACTTAGGTTAAGAATACGCGAGTATCAACAGGAACAAGCCGGATCAACAATTAATTAGCTGATCAGCTGATCAGCTGATTAGTTGACGTTCGAAGTATTACAATTGTACTTCTACTCTCAATTATTGAACCTCATCGGTCCGTTACCTGTGTTGATATGAGAAAAACTATGCTGATATGAAATGAAACTATGCTGATATGAAAGTAAACAGCTGTTAAGTGAAACTTTTCAATTCTAAGAACTGGACTGAAATGGCTACTTTAAAAAACGGTCGTAGGTAAAAATTCAATTTTGTTCAATGTTCCTGTTGATACTCGCGTAATTTTAACCTAAGTTGGTGGTTAAAGGAAGGTAGATTAAACTGATTTAAAAATTTCAGGTTTAGTGAAAGTGAAGTTGACGAGATGGAAATGAGAGCACAAACTGTTTGTGCTAATCTTTTGCCACCAAAATCGAAACAAATGTATGAAATTACATACCAGCAATTCATTAAATGGACGAAACAAAATAAGGTTAGATTGTTAAATAAAAATGAGCTTCTTGTTTATTTTCAAAACCTCTTAACCGTTGTTTCACCCAACTCGTTGTGGACGACATATTCGATGCTGAGATCCCACTGTAAATTAACTGTTTCACTATATTGTTCAGTTGTCCAAATAAATATGCAATATTTCCCTAACTGTAACTGATACAGTATTTATGGTGAGAATGATGCTAGAAGAAGCTATTGCCTGCAAAAAAATAGTAACGTATTATCCTATACTCTAATACGAGCAATGTTTGCTTGTATGTATGCTTGCTTGCTTGCTTGCTTGCAGAAAGATCTCGAAAACGGCTCCGACGATTTTCTTCAAATCTTGTAAATAGTTTATTTTTGGCCTAAAAACAAGTTTCATGCAGTTAGAACTGCCAACAAAAATCTAATTACGTAGAAAATCCTATACTCTAATACGAGCAATGTTTGCTTGTATGTATGCTTGCTTGCTTGCTTGCTTGCAGAAAGATCTCGAAAACGGCTCCGACGATTTTCTTCAAATCTTGTAAATAGTTTATTTTTGGCCTAAAAACAAGTTTCATGCAGTTAGAACTGCCAACAAAAATCTAATTACGTAGAAAAACGAAACTGAAAGTCACATTTTTTTAACATTAGTCTTATGGGTTGCTAAGTAACCATGTTGGTTGAATTAAATAACAAGGAAAAGGTAAACAAAAGACTTGAAGTTGTAGCACGTGTTCATAATAAACCAACTACCCACAGTATACTAGCAAATTACAAATACAGTACAAAAGGAAAAACATCACTTGTTAATATTGAGCAAAGATTATACCAAAGATTGATTATACTTAAGATTACTCGAGACATTGTAGTCAAGGGTAGCAGTGCGAAGTCTAGGATCTGTTTATGACGAATACATTAAGGTATCTGCAATCCTAAAATGCTATGGGAAGGGAAGGAAACAGGTCCGTGACGTTGGAAGTAGTGAAGGAAGTAGTAAAGGCAATCATAAAATGCTATGGGAATAGAGGGAAACAGGTCCGTGACGTAGGAAGTGATGAAGGAAGTAGTAAATGCGAGCAGTCCGGAGTGTGGGGACTGTTTATGACGATAAGATTAGGGTATCTGCAATCCTAAAATGCTATGGGAAGGGAGGGAAACAGGTCCGTGACGTAGGAAGTGGTGAAGGAAGTAGTCAAGGCGAGCTGTCCGGAGTGTGGGAACTGTTTATGACGATTAGATAAGGGTATGGGCTATCCTAAAATGCTATGGGAAGGGAGGGAAACAGGTCCGCGACGTAGGAAGTGGTGACGGAAGTAGTCAAGGCGAGTTGTCCGGAGTGTGGGAACTGTTTATGACGATTAGATTAAGGTATCTGCAATCTTTAAATGCAATGGGAAGGGAGGGAAACAGGTCCGCGACGTAGGATGTGGTGAAGGAAGTAGTCAAGGCGAGCTGTCCGGAGTGTGGGAACTGTTTATGGCGATTAGATTAATGTACCGGTATCTGCAATCTTTAAATGCAATGGGAAGGGAGGGAAACATGTTTGCGACGTAGGAAGTGGTGAAGGAAGTAGTAAAGGCGATTAGTATGGAGTGTGGGAACTGTTTATGACGATTAGATTAACGTATCTGCAATTCTGAAATGCTATGGGAAGGGAGAAAAACAGGTCCGCTACGTTGGAAGTGGTGAAGGAAGTAGTCAAGGCGAGCTGTCCGGAGTGTGGGAACTGTTAATAACGATTAGATCAAGGTATCTACAATCTTAAAGTGCTATGGGAATGGAGGGAAACAGGTCCATGACGTAGGAAATGGTGTAGGGCGTTGTAAAGGCGAGCCGTGTGGAGTTTGGGAACAGATTTATGTATCTCCGATACTAAGACTGCTTTCAGAGTGAACTAATGATTTTCTTCGAGCAAAGCTCGGTCCCCAGGTACTTTAACGAAATTTTACAAACACGTAATTACATGAAATCAGCTGATTATACAATAAGTCGTTGCATCACTTTCAGTGGCAATGACAATCAACGAAAACATAACCTCTCTAAGAAGTTATGAGTAATGAATGTTAGTAATTAAAAACCAGATTGTTAGTACTTAAAAAACTGTCGTAGGTAAAGTAGTGTACGCAACACACGTTAATAGTCTTTACGACACCCGTAGAAGTTTTTAAGGCACTCGCCAAGGCTCGTGCCTTAAATTTTCTACTCGTGTCGTAAAGACTAACTTAACGCAATCGTTGTGTAAACTACTCTACTGTATTGGTTTTCTTTTAATTTTGAACCATATAGACTATTTACTGGCCTTTTGTAGTTACTTGCGAGGCGGCCTGTATGTTATGGTACGTAATAAATAAATTTGTTAAGATTAATTATACAGGGTGAGTTTCTACTGACCGTGTTAACTTCGCCAGTAGGTTCTACTCACTAAAAGGAACAAAAAAGTTCATACAAACCCATGTCCGATTTTCAACCGTTTGGCTGTAATAGGGGATTTTGTGTTTTTCTTATTTTATTAGACTTTGCTCCACAATTTATGTAATAAAAACTTAACGAATTACTTTAGAGAGTTATAGTTAAAATCATTAGAAAGAATATTAAATTTGCTATAAATCAAAGGTTTCATTCAAGAATTATACCATTACATAGTCCACGTTATATCCAAAATAAAGTAAAAATGTCATTAAATTAATTAATTACGATAATTTTCTTGAGCCCACTTTGATACATAAACCTTCATCTATGCAATGTTGAAATGCATAAAAAACTTGGCCATTTAATAATCTTTCAAATGATATGCTATTCAATACTATTATTGATATAAACCAGTGAGAAATTACTAATAAACTACAATAAAACACGGTCTACAGATTTTGTTTTGACACAGTTTGTACTGTTAATAATAATTACTGTATTCATCATGTTGGCATACTCTTGATTGGTAAAAGGCTCCATAGTTTAATAAATGTTGAAAAACTCTTAATTGACTTGGAAATATAAAGTTAAAACAGCAAATTACTCAACAAGGTATGTTTAAGCAGCTGAGTTATCTAGCTATAGATGACAAATCAATAAAAGCTGACTTAATCAAGCACAAGGTAAAACTAATTATACAGCATTTAAGAATCAAACACACTACATCTTTGAAAATGTGAAATACCTTGAGTTTATACATTTTATTAATTCAGATAATTTTAATAAATATTTAAAAGTTAAAATAATGTACAAATCTTATCAGATTGTTCAATAAAATACAACATATGGAGTATACAGTAATTATTATCAAAAGTACAAACTGTGCAAAAACAAAATCTGTAAACCGTGTTTTATTGTAGTTTATTAGTAATTTCTCACTGGTTTATATCAATAATAGTATTGAATAGCATATCATTTGAAAGATTATTAAATGACAAAGTTTTTTATGCATTTCAACATTGCATAAATGCAGGTTTATGTATTAAAGTGGGCTCATGAACATTTTCGTAATTAATTAATTTAATGACATTTTTACTTTATTTTGGATATAACGTTGACTATGTAATGGTATAATTATTGAATGAAACCTTTAATTTATAACAAATTTAATATTCTTTCCAATGATTTTAACTATAACTCTCTAAAGTAATTGGTTAAGTTAGTGGTAAATTACATAAATTGTGGAGCAAAGTCTAATAAAATAAGAAAAACACAAAATCCCCTATTACAGCCAAATGGTTGAAAACCGGACATGGGTTTATAGGACCTTTTTTGTTCCTTTTAGTGAGTAGAACCAACTGGCGAAGTTAACACGCTAAGTAGAAACTCATCCTGTATATCTGTTTGTAAACATGAAACCAATTAAAAGGCACACTACTAGTGCCATACCTTGTGAATAACTAACAAGTGTTGTAACTATACATTTGAATAATTATAGCCTACAGTATTTAGACAATTCCTTTATCACAGTTGGAAGTTGTATGATTTACATGTATATTTAATTGTTTTAACTAATGATTCAAAATTCCAAACAAAAACCGTAGTGATAAATATACGAAATTTAAGGAATCAGTTACGAAAAACGCTTGAAGCAGGGAAATGTTATTGGCTAACGGGGCTTCGGACCCAACCTTACCATGTTGGTAAGGCAGATCGTGTGCTACCAGGGTAGGTTAATCCCCCCAAGCGCCACTTTAGAAGGAAGCGCTAGAAGTTTTGTTTGGCAACGACTTTTATTGATAGTACATGATTGTATTAATTTGTCAAGAAAACAAAAAAAGTTTCACATAAATTTGTAAACTGTACATGGATCACTTAAATAAATCTCTTTAATGTTATGTAAGTGGTTAATTTAAAAATTAATTAATAATTAAGAAGAATATAAAGCATAATGTCAAATAGCTCTCGCCATGAACAATATGCGTATTATTTCCCTTGGGTCATGGAAGTTCACTCCTTCATTCGGCGTCCAACCACCCGGTCACGTCGTTTATGGTAAAAACGACCTTATTCCTGCTAAATCTAGTGAGGATATGGTACATTCTCGTCACCGGACGGTAAGACGTTCACAAACAATAAAATCAATTTAGGCATAAGCATCAATGTTGACGGCTCGGCATATGATGACATCGAAACATTGATTGCAAAAATCGAAATATTGGTCCTAATTATGTACAATTAACCTAGTGTTATGATCATTCTAAAAAGTGATCGCTGCAACTTATTATTTTCAAATTAACTGCTTTTTGTACAATTTCACATATAGGGATTAAGCTATTACCAATGGTAAAAAAGATCATGCCAAATCATAACATGTCACTCTCAAAATATATTTTGAACGTTCTTAGTTTTAATTCTCTATCTATAGTTTTAACCTCTACACAGTTTGGAATTTGTTTTTAAATGCCATATTTTGTTCTGTCATTTTATGAAAGCAACATGATCCCATTCCAACTGCGTTAAGTAAGAGATATTGTATTTGATGAATGGACTAATACAGGGTGTTTTTTGTAATCGTGCATTGTTTGCACGTCAATGAAGCACTGGTTTAATTTAATTTCACAATAAATCATTTACGGTACTATCTAAAACTTACTATATGTGGAATCAATAAGAGAAGAAGAGAAGGTGCATGAAAAACTATAGAACCCAATGTTCACTTTTCCCCATAAAATGGTATTTTGTCCATTTCTTCAGTCGGATTTTTTAGATGTTCACCAGTTTAGTAATTTTGCACTTATTTCAATTTCAGGAGAGCAATTGGTCACAGTAGAAGAGTTTGTGCCAATCTATGCCAAGGTGAAGACAAACAAAGACAATGGAGTTTATGAAGACTTCATTGAATGTCTCAAGCTCTATGACAAGCAACAAGATGGACTCATGCCTCTTGGTGAACTGACTCATGCCCTCACATCTCTAGGTCAGTATAATATGTGTGTGTTTTGTGCTATGAGCTACAAGAAACAAGATGGACTTATGCATCTTGGTGAACTGACTCATGCCCTCACATCTCTAGGTCAGTAGAATAGGTTTATGTTGTGTGCTATGAGCTACAGGCAACAAGATAGACTTATGCCTCTTGGTGAACTGACTCATGCCCTCACATCTCTAGGCCAGTATAATCGGTTTGTGTTGTGTGCTATGATGAGCTACACTCTTGCTACTTATAGGAGGCATGCCTTACAATCTCTATTGATTGGTGAAGGTTGAATAAATCATGCAAATTCTCTCACGATGAATTTGTCAACTCATCCACAGCCTCCAATTATTGATGTATGAACATTTTTTAGAATAAAGGAACTGGTATGAAATTATAACTTAGAATCAGCCTAAACAATATACTGAAATATCATTGTTGCTGTGACATTCATTGTTACTGAATTGTCTGTTGTTTTGTAATACTTAATGAAGAACTTAATTAGAACTTAATGAGTTACAATTATAAAGTCAGATTCTGCATGATTAATTGTAATGTTTTAACTTTACACCACTCACTGTTCTCGGGAGTTAACTTAGGCTTTCTCCCGTATCTACATTCAACATACTCAATGAACATAGTGCTGTAAACTCTTATATTTGGTAGGTATATTAATTAGTAGGATGAAAAATTTTCAATTGGCATATGATGTATCTGCAATGCATTTAATCCAAGTTGCAAATCTGAATTATGACATAACATTACTAAAACAATGATTCATTCAATATGATTTTCCAGGAGAAAGATTAAGCCCCGATGAACTGGATGCTGTCATGTCCGACTGTATGGATGAGGAAAATGATGATGGACTGATCCCCTATATCCGTAAGTTTTCAACAGTGACAAGTGAGTTTTCAGCGTCTGCTGACAATTCTAAAATACTGTACTTATTTACTTTTAATATTTTTGAAATTTTGAGAGTAGTTTCTTTGGTAAGAAAGTTCACTCAATGATTAGTTGTTTCATGAAATATGTACGGCTACTACTAGGCAGGAATTCACATAAATAGAAAAGAAAAAAGTACTTTCTGACTATTACACTCCTGAGTATTCAAAGAGAAACTCCCAAAATAAACAGGTTGAGAGTAGTTACCTTATTGTTTTGTTCTTTTCATGTTGTGGGTATATTACACCACTCCTAGTTTAGAAACCCACTCAAATTTCTATTCGGTCAGGTGTTTTTGTGGAGAGATGGATATCTCATCAGTTCTCACAAGGTGCTAGACCATCCTGAAATTTGGCAAGAACCAACAGATCTTCAAATGAAGCAATTGGCAATCTTAAATAATTGAAAAAACCAGGTGTGCCAATCACTGATTCAACTCTCTTATGCCCTTTATATTTGTTTTCTGTTGTTATTATAACCAGTATCAATAAACATTTTTCTGTTTCAGCATTCTTGGCGAGGATGTGTGAAAAGCCAGTTCCAAAGACTATCAAGCCCCTGTAAATTTATATAACTGATTGAGCATTTAATTTCTTCTGAAGGATTTGTATGAAAACCAGACTAAACTAAATAAACAAGTTAAAAGGAAACAATCAATTTGTATCTGTGCTGTCTAACAGTCTATTCACCTAATTTATCTGGAACTAATTATTTTAGCAGTGAAGATTTCAAAATTAAATTTTAAAAAAACCTGGTTTCACTTACAACATAATTACAAAAACTGTAAAAGTTGTCAAGAGTTTAAAATTAAGTGGCCTTAAATTTTTCTTGGTTGTCAGAAATTGTAATAAATAACCGATGTTGTATTAAAGGTCAAAACAGGATTAACAGAAAAAGAAGGAAAACTTCAAACCAATGTCCAAAATGTCTCAAATTTGTTTTACTTAAGGTGTTTGACCTCAACTGCTCGTCACGTAGATGAATAATATGTGAAGTGATCTACAGTGAAGTCCCATTACAGTACAAGTCTAATAAGATAGTGACCTCGAGGAATCTATCACTAAGCTACTATGTTCAGTTAATTAATCATTCTAGCTACAAAGGCATCCACTAACCAGGGCCGGATTTCCCAATAGGCCCAATAGGCCCGGGCCTATGGGCGCTAGCTCCCAGAGGGCGCACGGCCGAGAGGAAACATATGTTTTAATATCTAAAAATAAAATAAATAGCCATAGCTTAACATATTTTGCGAGTTGATAAAAAAAAAAAAAAAAAAAAAAAAAAAAAAAAACTCTTGCCAAATAAAGCATTATAATTTTGAAATTCGTTGGAACAAAAAATTGTTAGAAAATTTAAACTATTTTTCAACATTACGCATCAATTTTGTTAAAACTTTGGTTATACGGGAGTAGACTGTAGGGATGTTGACAAGCGCCCGAGCGGTACGCATAGTATTGCCACTGTAGGCTACTCTTTGAACTGCCACTATGCTGGCTCGGCGCTACTGATCAGAGTGATTAGGGGCGCATGCGTGTTAGACACCGTTACCACCCTCACCTCACAAAAAGAAAATTTATTAACTAATCTTTTGATCAGTTTACAACTACAACAACCTGCAGGGTCAAGTTTAATTATATAATATGTTTTGTTGAATATTAAAAATACGATAAGTTTATCTTTAAAATTCAATAACGAAGAATCATTAATGGCGCCATTTTCTCCTCAGCTCAGACCTGAGGATATTTATGGTTGGCCGGACTATTGCTTTGCAAATATAATCTGGATGCAGTACCACCATGGAATAACCATAAACTCAAGTCAACTTCTTATCATGTTGTTAATTCTAAGTATTGTTTTTCATGTCTAGTTCAAATATGTTGGTGACACTGGAAGTTAGTTTTGACGTAGTTTAGTTTCTATTATTTTAGGGATAGTTCTATGTTGTGTGTTTTAGTTTCTTGTAATATAACCAGTGGACGACCTATTGTTTATGATTAGATCGTTTTATTTTGGACAATAACTAGGCTTAAATAGCTTAAATAAAAAGAATTGTTTTCAGCTAATCCCCAAGGGTGACAAATCTACTAAATGAGTCTGTTTAATCTATGGTATCACGTAGGCCTACTGTTATGGAGTTCATGTTTTGGGGCCTGAAATCGGAATCAATGTACATGCTTTTTTGCAATAATGCTCTGTGGGTTCGATTCTTTTGTTTCAGTCCCACAAGCGTGAGCATTTGCTAAAAGCATAAAATTGCCAAAAGTGTTTAATACGGCATTTTGCTAAGGCTAACCAAGACAATTCTTCAAAAAACTTCTAATGATAAAATTCCGAATAAGATTGGTGTTCAAGCAAATAACTTAGGCCTATTAAATAGGCATGATATAGTTTTTGATAAAGGTTTGTAGGAAAGAAACTGTGACCAGACTAGGGGGCGGAAAAATTATTTGGGCCTAGGGGCGCCAAAATGCTAAATCCGGCCCTGCCACTAACCATTTAAAAATAACAAAAATCAACTGCATTTTTTTATTATTTTATTTAGCAATCCAAGGGCGAGTAGAAATGATTCTCCTCCCCTTGTTTTTCAAGTTTCTTAGGATATCAACACTATACTGCCACTTATTACTGTAAACAAACTTCAAGTTAACAATATTGACATTTTCACATTTTTGGCATACCATTATATTCTAATATGGTGAATCCAGACTGGTGGTCAAAACTGTGAACTTAGTCAAAACAGTGACCATCATTTTTTTCATAAACTTCTGAGTTAGTAAACAATTATTATTAATCACAATTCAATGTTTTTATCTTGTAGGTATAAATTTATTAAGTTGCTAATATTTTAGGAATACTGTAATGCAAACGTAGTTTTATTTTTTAACAGTTTAAGTGGTTTAACTGTGTGATAAGTAGACAAGAACATAAAGAATGAAAGTTGAACTTAATAGGTTACAGCAGGCACTTCAAAAAAAAACAAAAAAAAACGCTAACACATTTTGTTATCTACCTATGCATAACATTTTATATAAAATCACTTAAACTACTAACTAGGACCAAGTATTATCAGGTGTTAAACTACGCTACCTGGATTACTTTATAACATGAGATAAGTTTTTAAAACCGCAAATGGAAAAAGGAAATTAAAAAATTGGTAGCAATAATAAAAATTTATTAACACATGAAAAATAATGTATATAAGTAAAATCCATTCGGAACAGAAGACTTGAATGCACCACAAATCACTTATGTCAGTTTTGACATTTTTACACAATTGTTAAAATAATGTAACAAATACAATAGATACTATTGAAACGTAATTAAGTCATCCAAATTAAGAATACAGTATGTTGTTTTAGTCTCAAGTAAATTCCTCCATTTGATATTACCAAACTCAAAACAATTACCACAATGCAATGCAAGTATTCTCTAACATTGGGAGGTTATAGATTGTATATTTGATATGAAACAGAATTATTTTAATAGAATGTAACAGAATGTATCACAAATATTTCACAGAAGAAATAGAAATTTGAAACTCAAAATGTCTTGCATATTAAATTCATGTATTATGGTAATATTAAAATAATGCCAAAGAAGTTGGTGGCATTTGCATTAAAAAATATTCTTTTAATAAAATACAACTAACAATCTCTTTAAAATAAAATCCTCTTTTTAAAAATACATAGGTTAAGCATAAATAGTCTACACCTATTTTGGTTTATTCAAATAAGCAATTTTTTACTCAAGTGAATCTATTTAATAAGTGATTTAAATAACATTTTCCCTACATATTATATATGGTGTACAAGGTACAAGTCTACTTACTAGTAAGTTGTTAATTTGACTACGAAACATTGAGGAACCACAAGGTAATGTCATGGACAATCCGTATCACTTAGCAATTACTACATACCTTAGCCTTGAAACTACCACTTTACGTGCTTCAGGTGACTACAATATTGTTTTTGTGGAGTCATTCTTTCTTGGAAAACACATGTAAAAGCCAATAATGGAGTACATCTACTATTTTTAACCATTTCCAAACATTTAATAATACTGTTTCAAGACCCAAAGGTTGTGACATCTAAAGACACAAATACTCATAATAATCGGTGTTATGTTAAAGTGAGCAATTATGTTAGGCACAAGTTAAAATCACTATTTACTTAAAAGGAAAACATACATCCCACCATTGGTCCCGATCCTATTAATTTGTTTACCACACACAATAGCCAAAGCATGATTAATAGCCCTCTAAAACAAATACTCCACAAAAAATATTATACTAGTGTAGATCTAAAAGTTAGTATGTTGTCTTGACTAAAAAGCTTAATTTAAAAGAAAATCCTAACATTCACATGGAAAAACACAACAATTTTAGTTTTATATTTATGTATTGTGGTTTATTTTAAGTCTCATCAACCTTACTGCAAATAAATATGTTATCTGACAATAGCACAAACAGATTAAAAGCACTTTATAGAGCTACAAATTCAAGCAACAATTTTAAAGAAAGAAACAAGCTAAAAACTAAAATAAATCAAAATATTTGGTATAGGTGTGAGATACATCAGTTACCAAAGTGAACACAAATCACTTAAACATATGCAGATTGTCAGTACACAACAATTTACACTAACAAATCTCAGTTGTAAATCTCAGAAAATCTCATAAAGATGAATTAAATTAGTAGGCACATAAAAATACAAAACCAATGCTATTTTGTTTGACATATAATAATCTGAAACTATTTTCTATGTTCACTAATTTCCAGAAAAATCAATAAATAAACCTATAGTATTAAGTGGAATGAAGTTTGACAAATTTAATCTTAAAAGCAGTAAGAATATGAACAATTGAAGGGTACTTTTACTATGCTATTTAGGATTAATAAGCTAAATTAGGATTTTACCTTTACTAAATGTCAATTTATGGTATTTAACTTACTTCCATTAAAGGCTGATTTGACTTAGCTTTTATATGAGTAGGTTGTTAAGTAGATGTTATAATCAACCTAACATAAGCCAATTCTGGTAAAACTTTTTTTTTGTTTTATAGGGATTTCTTCCCCTTTGCAAATAAGATAAATATGGCTTATATTTAACTTTATTGTGAATAAGGTAACAAATCCACTACACCACTTATACACGACTAGCAAAATAAACTCTAATAAATATAAATAACAAAATAATATATTACTCTTTACTAAATCTACGAAGCAAGTATTGTAGGATAAATACATGAAGAAAATGACGTTTCCACGGCCATTATCACTGTCAAACCGAAGTTACACTGTCATTAATTATCTTTGTGAATTTAATGCTCTTAGAAGAAATAAGATTGGATGGGCACTGGTGTAACTTACTGTTAATGACAAGATATACCACCCCAACACAAATAAATAAGTGGCACTCCTCAAATTCAACTAATACAATTTCATTTCAGATCTTAACCAACTAGTACTACAACATTTATCATATGTTTGTATATTAGTGGAACAAAAGACAAAAATAGAAACCAAACTTTCAGTAGTTTGCAGGGTTTATTTGATTTAGAAATGCATAGACTGGCTGGGCGCATACTGGGAGAATATTCAGCATTTCCTTGGAAATGAATAGTTTCTACAAATGTTTTCCTTTGAACAAGAAATTTGCTACACAATGGAAACCTTAACCGTATTGCCAAGGTTGCTTCTTCAGTAGAAGTTTGTTTAATTACATGAGAGGAATAGTTAGACAAACTCTTCACATTTGCTATCGACATTTTCTTTTAACAGTGTGTGGCTAGCCGTGTCTCTAAGCCGTGTGGAAACGAATAAATAACAAATGAAAAATGAATATCAGCTGGATAAAATAAAATTGTTCAAAACAATGAACCGATGCAAAACAAACTAAATTATAATTGGAAATTATTAGCTTTAGAAATTATTTCTGCACATTAATAGAAACTCTCCGTCAAAATTACCCATCGGTACTTTCTAAAAGCTCAGTCTCTTTGAGATTTAAGTCGGACCATTATACGTATCTGGAATCGGAAAAGTCAATTGTGGAAAGGAAGTACCTTATAAATCTAGAGGGTTAACAAATGTACGATCCACTTTACAAGTTAATATGAACCTTACAGTATTCTAATTTCTAATATAGTGTGATATGATAAAAGGTACAATAATTGTACTACAGAATCTACTCATTTCTAAATTGTTCATTATAGTGAAAATTTAGACGATTATGAGTCAATTGCAGCAATAACATTTGGATGGTAAATATGCTATTGATTTCAGGATGTTTGTTTTTATTACATCGTAAATGTTATCACAGTTATTTTGCTAATAACAGTGCGTTTTAGGATTTTTTGGGTCTATTGAAATCAAATTTAGGTAGGATTTCAATAGCAAGTACACTTTTAAGGTAGTATATATTTTCAAATTCAATTATAAAGTTACAGTATTTTTATATGTGCATCACTTGCACATTGTATTAGGTGGCTTAAGGGATTCAAACCCATGCCTGAACTTAACAAACAATAATTTAATCAAACCAAGCAGAAAAATTTAAGATTTAATTCTAAAATCAATTATGGATGTGAAAATATTGCATAAAGCAGATGCAAAGAACGAGATCCTCTCCCCATTGCCAAGCAGGGGTAAAGTGGCAAGTTAGGGAATTAAGATGAGTTGAACTGAATTTCATGAATATATAAGTTAATAATTCTAAACATTCAGATTGTCGGGTCATAGTATTTGGCTCAACACTCAAAATAAACTCAATAAAACTATACAAGTTACTAGCCCTTTTATTTCTTAACGATAAGATTCAAGATTAAAGCACTGAAACTTATATTTTATCAAAAACTAAAAAATAAAACATTTTACTACTGATACCTTTCAAGTAGTACAAGGACACAAAGTCAGGTTTTGTCAAACTTGGTAAAAAACTAAACTTAAATCACTGTGACAAAACATGATTAAAATTTAAAACATCAACAAACTTATTATGTAGAACTTTGCATGAATAATGCAAACATATAAATTGATTAAATTAAAAATGGTACTAGAACCGTGGGCATAAGGCTTCAGGCACCGTGAGGATATTCCGTCAATCAGATGTCTTCACTGCAGCATTTTGGGCAAGCATCCAAATCCATCAAGAAGATGGTGTTAAGTAAAAAAACCAGACCTTTTATGCTGGATCAGGACTCTGGTTGCCACATGCTCTACAAGCTACTGAAGCTTTGTCTCAAAGACTTGCAATCTTCTGGAATTTGTTGAAGCTCCGTCTGCTTTCTTGGTTGTCAAAAGTGACATGTTTGTAGAATAGTTGAAATTCCTCACAATGTGCAGAATCAGAAGACTCCTTGTTTTTTTCTCCTAACTTAATTTTCAATTCAACTTTTGTCGCAGTCATTCCCTATTAATCTTTGACTAATTCTATAGTTTTCAATAGTAGGTCAAAATTTCAACATCCTATCAAATTCAGTTATTTTTTATTAAATTTCAAACCGATATTGCTTTTTCACTTGTGTTTTAATGATAAGGCATAATAATTTAGGAGTGGGCTTGAATGAAAGGGTGAGTTGCCATAATTCAAGGTCAAGTTATAGTATGATATATTCCTATTGATCTTTAGGACTCCTCACAAATTTTAATAAATTTCATAGCAGATTATAAATTTTTTTCATTTTCTAATAATCTGCTATAGTTCAATTGCTTATAATTCAACTAGTTTTAACAATCTCAAAACCTAAACATCGACAGATCCTCAATCAAATGGCTTTATGTTTATTTAAAATGGACTTCAAGTTAAATAGATAGTTTTTGTATTTTTAAATAGAATAAAAGCATTTTTTTAATCCGGGGAGGTTTCTGGTTTACGCAAACACGCCAAACTTTGCCCCAAAAGATGCCCAAAAAAGCAGACAGATCCAGAAGATTGTATATGTTTTCAACATTAAGCTTCAGTGGTTTGTAGGGCAGTGGGAATAGTGTCGATGGATGTGGACCATCTTCTTGATGGTTTTGGGTGTGTGTCCAAAATGCTACAGTGTAGACACCTGGCTGATAGAATATCCTCATGGTGCTTAACACATTCACTACCAGGGGTCACAATACGCCTCATACAGAGGAGTGTGTCGGCTGGTAGGCAATGTGTTAAGGCTGTGTGTTCACGTTTCTCGTCATGTTTATATCTTAATTATTTTTATGTTAAAACTACTGGTGTAATGTGCTTCATTAGATTATAAGTTTGTCAATTGTTTTAACTTTGATTCCAATTATGTGCGAGTATTTAACATGTATTGTGGTTAATCATAAGAGTGTTGTGTGTTTGATTCAATCTTGACCTTGTCCTAACAATTTTTAAGGGTTAGGGAATTGTGTTATTGTATTTAAGAGTTTAAAAACTTGAAAATATTTAGGGCCTTTTTGTATAAAGGCACCTTAACAGTTGTTAAAGGCCACAGCTACATATTGTAACCAACAAAGTTCCAGAATTTACTATGCCGAAATAATGCTTGAAACCCTAAATTATCTTAGTTAACCTTTAATAAACTTTGAATTACAATAAATATCACTCTCATTCAAGCCCATCCGAAATTATGACCATCATCAATCATCAAAACAAAAGTGGTTGAAAGAAAACTCCAAGAGCTCTATCATTGCTACAGTTGACTCGATAAGAAAACACTCTGCAATATTTGAGCACTCTACTCTTCTACATTTAAAAGGAAGAAGAAAATTTGTTCTAGAGCTAAAAAAGTTAAACTGGGGGATCCATTGCACTAATTATAGCCTTGACGACTGACGCAGCAGCGAGACTAGCATAAGCTTGCCATGGAGACTTGCGTGTGCCGTCGCGATAGTCAGCAATACCTCGCACGACTGCAAAGCTGTCCTTGCAGTTACCCATGACTGATTCTATCACAGAGTCAAACTCTGGGTCCCAGGCTTTAGCACCGCAGCGCTGAGAGAAGATTTGGCGTAGAGAATCGTCTTTGCACACTGCACGGCCTGACAGGATCGGACCCAGGTGTAGTCTCGGCAAACCTTCCACTCTGCAACAACACCACAGTTTCAAGAAAGAGAACACTTCAAAGTAATGTGCATCAAGTAAATAAAAGTGTTATGGAATAAAGATCTCAAACAATAAATATTTTAAAATACACATTTACGTGGTTTGAGATGTGTATTCAATAATAATTGCAAAGCAAGTATTATAGCCAACAAAATTAAATTTGGAAAAGGTTTATCGTTCTTTGGAACACTTTTTGAACACAAATTTGATAGATAATAGCATTTAATTTATACTAGCTGAATAATATGTTAAGCATAATAAATCACCCACCAGAGTTAGTGGAAGAGGCCTAATAAAACTTAAGTGAGCACAGTTTAAGTAATTAAGATTATTTGTGATTCCAAAGAAGGCAATTGGCTAGTTTTCCTCCTTGGGTTCGCAAAATTACATTTTTTTTTCTAGATCCAATGTAAATGTTAAATTTTTATTATAATGTATATATAAACTAATGATCATTTTGCATGATGGGCCAAGAGTTACATTACCATCCTGAATACCAGAAATTAAGCAACAATCAAAGTTTTATTGAAGCATTCATACAATTTGGAATACAATTACTATTGAGAGTTATAATTTATAAAACAGGAAGTTCAACAACAGTAATTTAAAATTGTACTATTCTAATAATATAATCTTTAAAATACTATAAAGGACTCTCAGGAGAAAAATAATTACAAAATAAAATATTACTATCGGAGATTTTTTGGCCCAATTAGCAATTACTAATATGATATTACATTAGAGGGCAAGTATGGTACCTGGCAGACTGAATGGTGTCGGCAGGCGTAGGGTGAGCCACTTCTATGATGTCTCTCTCCCCAATACACATGTACAATTTGTCAGTGTCAGTCGGCGGACGACAGAAGTCATGTTCCGACTGTGACTGTAACATCTCCTGACCCTTCTTCAGATACCTCAGCCATGTAGTCTTGTCACACTCTGTGTCCGACTGAAACACAAAATATAGGATTTCAACAATTAGAATGTCAGTGGTTTGTATATCTAGACGTCTGCAGGCTAGACTTTTTTACTTTGGGTCAGGTAAAAATTGGTTTGCTTTGCAAAGTAATGATATTTTAAAAAGTTAATTGTTATACTAAAATCTGTTTATGTAATATTGTACTATTTCATTTCGATCCCCACCTATCTTCTGTGGTCACACAAAATCGTGATCATTTTCCCGGCCACGGTGAAATCAACAACATGTTATGCAGATAGCGAGAAATCATTAACATCACCTGCGATTGCAGCGAGACTCATTGAATTTCGATTGTACATGTTGCAGATGTATTCTACGGTCAAAAAAGAAAACTCGGCTTCGAATCGACCCCTCAGGCCAATCGTTTGCCTGACCCAACCCAAAAATATTGGGGACACCCAGACTCCTAAATGTATTATTAACACTTTTTTTTCCTAGGACGCAAGGCACGAGCCAGAGATTGTTTTTCACATTACTTCAGGTTAGACCTAGGGGTTGCGGCATTATCACTTAGATAAAATCCATTGGTGATTTGGGGATGTTAACCCGGGGCTCAGGGATCAAAGACCTGCGCTCTACCACTAAACTAGCTAGCTCCTCCTTTTAAGAAATTAGAGTACTTTAAATAAGAGTGCAATTTTTTTCATATCCTTGATTAATGATTTTATTTTTCATCAAGTTGTGGAAAAACAGATGTTTTCAGTACATGTGGTATCAAAAGTCACTCATAAATTGCAGTGTTAAAAGTAATTTTTTAAAGTCATAAAATGAAAAAACTCATTTAGTGGAGGGTACCTATGTCAACTGTTACTTTATTTTTTTTTTTTTTACAGGGATGAAAAATGCAATCTTACTTTGATGTTGTTTTGGTTGTACTAAGAAGTTTGACGAAAACTTTAGTTTATTGTTCGGGCTAAAAGTGGCTTTCTGGCTTCAGCTTCATGACACAGGTCAAAGTTGAGCTTGTATCAATAGCCATAGTTTTTGATCAAAGAGATAAACTATAGCTATTGATGTCCTACTAATCTATGACTCTTTGGAATTGAGCCTTACACATACCTGGAACTTAGAAATACATGTGGGAATATTTTTGAAATTTCTTTTATATAGTCATTTAAAGAATTAACTCACAAATCCATATAGTAAAACATAGATGAAGATTTAAACAAAGAAATTTATGTATAACTTCTGTGAAAAGATGAATATAAAAATGTAAAGAAATATAAAGAGAACTTTTATTTATAATGATAAGCAATGAACTGGAATAAACAAATATTGGATGTAGGGGTGTGCGATGCATCGAAAATGCATCGAAATTTCGATTCGATTCGATTCGATGCATCGAATCGCGATTCGATTCAGTGGTGGTCAAAAAACGATTCGATTCATGAGGGAGTCAGTATCCATATACGAAAAACGCCTGCAGAAAGCCAACGCAATACCCGCAATACAGGAGCGCGTTGCTGTTGCGTTTCCTTTACGAAGGCGTTCTTATTTAATACATTCTTTGCATTAAATATAGCTTTAATTGTTTTATATTTTTTTGTTTTGACATTGCAAATGATGAGAGGTTTTGTTTTTTGTCTTGATGTAAGCAGTGTGAAAAATATTTTACTACTGTAAACTTAGCCAAAACAAGATAGGTCACTCCAAAATCATTTTAAAAATAAGTCTGAAAAATTGTTACACTAGTAAGATTAATGTTATAGACTGATACATTTGGTATTTTTGTTAGGGGTGCAAGAGAAAAAAAAGAATAATTTATTTCCAAAGAAACACTCTTATATTATTATATCTATTATTACAGAGGAATTAAAATGTTCAAATGAGAATTAAAGATTAGTAAGTTGGCTCACGACCTTTAAGAATAAAGACACAACAGAGCAATTGCCGCACTGCCACTAGCCAAAGCTAGTCTAGTCGTCTACTGACAAGATTGACAAGACAAAAGCCGTGATGCAACACTAACAGTGCAAAGAAAACAAAGTCAAAAGAATAGACTATTTATCCAGACATACTAGTTTAATCATTTATTATTTATTCCATACCTAATTTAAAATATATTTTAGTATTTTACATAATAAATTATAAACAAAATAAATATCTGATATAGTGAACAGATCTGTATCTTGGTTAGATGGGGTTAAAAAAATATATTTCTAAGATCCAATACAATATTTACAACTCACAAATTACAATGAATTAATTTCTTTGAAAATAATCTGTAACAGTTTTGTTTTTGAATAAAGAAATATAGTTTTTTGTCTCTACTTCCTTGTTTCATCACTTGCATTTTGTCAGCAATTAATTGAAGCAACTGGGTAGCAACCTGGTGGTGTAAGAGGGGAGGGGTAGGGTCTATGACCTTGAATGCACACATCGTTGCCTGGGCCTGGCTGGGGAGAGTGATTCATTGTTTTTGTTGACATACTACTGTACTACCCTTCCTTCAGAGAAAAAGACCCTGCTGTTCCAAAAACATTGAGGGTAGTTTAAAAACATTGACCTGTGTTGCCAAGGGCATTAGAAGTTAACATTTAACTTTCTTATCTCTTGATTTAATATTATTTTAATCTACTATATATTATTTAAGAGTTACTTTTCGGGTACCTAATTAATTGTGATTTTGTTTGGCTTTATTTTATGGATTTTTAATTCTTTTCATTCATTAGCTATCAAAATCAGTTGTTTTAGGATTTTAATCTCTTGCAGTAAGTCTATATTTTTTTATTTTATTTTATTTTATTTTATTTACATGCTTCAATACAGTTTAAAGACCATTTACATTGAAGCAGTTCAAGCACTTATAATATTATTGCTTCAGTGGGTTTCTTCTTGTCTTTTCACTTCACTTTTATTTACACTTTCATGCCATGCATTTAATACTAACATAAAAACAAAATTATCAATAACTATAACAACAATGTATATATATTTAAAAAATATTAACAATTATAAATTATATAAATATATAAATACTGAGTAGAAAATTAAATAGAACAATGCAAAAATATATACATTAACATTTACTGAGTGATTTATACTGTTTTTAATTTTAATTTGAAATTGTTTTAGGATTAATTATACTACTGTATGACATGATATGCATTTTTTAAAGTCCTTAATAATTATACCATAAACAATGTTTGTGTGTTATTTACTGTTTTTTAGTTTTATAGTAGGGCCTAAATTAGTTTACACAATATCTTTTCTTCAATGAGTTCTCCACTTGTCATGTTGCTTAGTACACTTTTAGGACTTTTTTAGGTCCTATAAAAAATAATGCCTATGTAAAGCTGTAGGAGGCCTACTAACTGATGCCAATAATAGATAATTCTTTATTTATGATGATGTAACAAATAATGTAAGTGTGAGATTATTATACTGAGGAGGTTAGGAGGCAGGGAATGAATGATACATATTGCATGGTGGAAACATATTATTTTTATTTTCTTCTTGCTTGCAGTCCTGAAGCAGGCCCACAGGCCCTAAACTTGTGATATGTAGGCTATATTTATTTCTTAATGGTCTTTTTATATTAAGTTCCATTCAAATTTGTTGTAATTTAGCTGACGGTACCTATTTAGTTATTTAAACAGTTATTAAAATGAGAAATAATGTCTTGATAAAAAAAATATTTTCTTCTTTCTTGCAATTGAGCCAATTCCAAGTAAAAATTATGAAATAGGCAAGTAAACCAGCTCACAGGTTATTCTAATCCCTATGATTGAAAATAAATATTTTTTCACCTAAAATTCATATGTTAAGTATGAATAGGCCTAATACCACATCAACAAAAATTTGCATTACACAAATGTGGTAAATTTTAATTATTGTTAATCCACTCAATTGACAATTATGAATAGAAAAATACCGTATTGCTTCGAATCGAGTTGCATCGAATCGAATCGAAAATCTTTTGAATCGAATCGTTGCTTCGAATCGAAAATTTTTTGCTGCTTCGCACACCCCTATATGGATAGGAACATTATGTTTTGTTTTCTGTATTTCCTCCTAAGAAGTTCTATCCATCAATTAGCCAAGTAATTTTTTTAGAATGCTTATCTTATAGGCTATATTATTATTAATAACTTGGAACACATTATTTAAATCCTCTAAATTCCAATAATTTTGAAAAAGAATATACATAATTGCCTGTGGAGTTCAAAATAGTGTTCCATTATAGAATCCATTTAAATTAGACTTGCCTCTAGGTTCGCTGATTTTATTACAACAAAATTTATGAGAATTAATCAACACCTTTAAGCATAAGGGTACTTTTAACTAATGAATAAAAAAAAGTTTGGCTAGACATAAAGCCCTACCTGTTGTTTGAGATGAGTAGCAATGTCTTGCAACAAGAGGTTGACAGGGCAGTAATCTTTGTGATCAAACTCTACGGATCCATCCGATCTCTCCTTACCACTTTCACAGTAAGTGTAAACCGACCTGTATAAGTTAACAGAAAACTAAATAACTTGCGATCTAACATCCAGCAATCTATTGTAATTGAAAAACATTCCTGCTGTTCATAAAAGCATAACTTTAGGATGATACAGAGCAAAAACTGAGTCATGTCAATTACATTGAACAGCCTTGTTTTATAAATAAACGTTTACCACCTGACCCATACAAGGATTTCATTTTTTTTTATTTTGTATAAAGAACTCTCATTCCTTGTTACACCAAAATCTATTGGGACACATACAGTGTTAAGTAATTACCACAAAGACAAAGTATACTTTTTATTTTCTCAGTTCTAAACAACCAATACTCATTGATTTGATAGGCAAACAATAAATTTGCACACAATTAGTTTTCAGTTGTCAATAGCTTTTGTCACTCTCGACTGTTCAATGTAAACTCTCAATAAAAGCTATAAAAAATGTTTAGTCTTGGAATAATCTTTAGAGCTTAGAAGTCATATTTGTTTTGGGGACCGTGACCTTACTAAGCAATTTTTAGGGTTATTATATGTGTAAAATATAAACTAACTATTGTTGAAGTAATAATGAAATATTTACAAATTACTACAACACACACTGTTGTTAGTCATCATACAAAATATGTCAAAGTTGTCTTTGCTCATCACAGTTCATGATAAAATTTAGTTAGTTAACAGCTCTACTCCCAACTACTTCTAACTTCACTTATCATGCCCAAACCCTCAACAGAAAACCTTTACACAGATCAGTTTTATCTAAATATTTACTTTAAACATATCCCTGAGTTCATAAATTTAATTAATTCCTTGATCTTGGTAAACATTAAAATATTCACAAAAAGTTATTAAAGTATGAGCATCCAGAACCCAACTAAAATATCGGGGACATCTCCAAGAGATTGGGGTAATCCGGGAGCTGTGGACATCATATCTAAATGTTTATATGCATAATGTGCAATAGTATAGTAGTGTTTACAATAATGGATTCCTTGCTTAGCTGCATGGCATTTGTATAAACTGCCGCCAAATGGCCCCCTGGATAGCATAGTATGTACTGATGTGGTCAAGATTAAAGACTGTATGTTTAGTAACAAGTGATTCCATTGCATGGGTTCAAATACTCACTTGCGATCAGGACCTAGGTGTGATACTACAACATCTCCGAGACGAACATGTTGTCCCCAGTCTGTGTAATGGGGCACCCCTCCACCCACCCCTACCAGGAACACGTACTCCACTTGTTGAAACGTTCCTGAAAAATACAACCACAAATCATGTAGTTTGAATTGAGTAAACCCTTATGCTAGAGATAAGAGAAACGTTTTAAAGTAATAAAATAGAGTAACACAGGCAATGAGCCTAGTACAATGCAAAAGAAGTAATTACAGGGTATTTTATTAACACAGCCCAAATTAAAAGTACTGTGAAACACATTTTAATGACAAGAAAAGCTTATTTGTTGGTATTGCCAGTTTTCTTGACTTCGTTGCCAATATGAATTGTCGCATAGTTATCTATGAGGTTTGGTGTCATTGGGAATTTATTGTAAATAAGACTTAAGATGGTGTATTCCCAAGCTCGAAGAGTTAAAAGAATATGTTAAAATTAAATCACTGGTTTTATGCCAAGTAAGGTTTGAAATTATAATTTCCAGGCGTGATTCCAGTGCATAATTAATAAACTGTTATTAACATATACATATAGGAAATACAGCTCCATTTAAAAATTTCTAAATCAGCAAGTTTTCAAATCAAGTCACCTTAATCAACACCTTAATATTCTACACATCTGACACCAAAAATGTCTTGATGAGTGGGCAGCTATTCAACCAGGAGATTAGAAATAAAACTCAAAACAAAAAGATAATTTTTTATTATTTTACAATTAAAAAGTAAGAAGTCTCAATTGTACATTAGATTACGGATTTTTAATTATTCATTTCAATAAAGCATATAAACCTAGCTAGTTTGTCAATAAATCTAGAACCTAGGCAAGTTCGGCGATATTCAGGATAGGTTACGTGAGTATCAGTTAATTTAAAGAATGTTCATAGTGAGGAAAATTATCAAAGCAAACATTTTTTAGTGCCCATACCCAAGCTAAACTACTTACTTGCAGAGGAATGATGTGAGCAAGGACTGGAGCTGGAATGAATCTTATTGTTCATGAAAAAGGAACATTTTCAAGAAATCCCCACTCATTTGTCATTCTAATGTGGGTTTCCATATTTAGTCTGTCCTCGAAAAGAAAGCTTGCCATTGGTTGTTATGTTTGTAGGACATTTTGATAGCCTAAAGGATGTGGCCAGCTGATAATTGTTATCTCTCACTATTTTTAAATGACATGGATTTTAGTTGAGGTCATTTATCAAGTTAGATAAATATTTTTGGGCATCACACACCTTGTTGAAAAGGAGAACATAGTCCTTGTCACCACACCTCCACTTAACACACATTAAAAGTAAAAAATAAAACAAGCTAAAGTTTTCTATTTCACTACAGTACCTTCCTTTGTTTGGACTTTTCCATGCGTTCTTTTATTTCTTTTTCCGATTCTCCGGAAGTACTAACTCTCTTCTGTTGTAAACCGGGTTAATTTTGATAAATGCTTTAGCCAACGAGTCATTCTCCAACAAAATGAATAATACCACTATAATGTTACTTTTCTTACAGTTAGGCTCTTTCTATAAAATAAAACTTTCTTCCAATTTTATACAATGCCCGGTATCATAAATGTTTTTAAATACCTTAAAATCAGAGCCATAGGTTACATCAACTATTTTATATGTTCATGAACACGTATAAGAGCCTGTATTGATGTTTGACCTACAAAGGAGTACAACAACGTGTTAATATACATGTTTTTTAAGCCCTTCAAAATAATTTTGAAAGAAATTGCGTAATTTAAGAGTAAAAGAAATGGGGAAAAACTAGTTTTTACCCCATAAAACCCTATTCCCATAGTCCAATGATGCTGAACTCGGAACTTATTCAAATAAACAAAGGTTTACTTAATTGTACCCATTTCATCAACGATACTGGTGCTATAAACGAAAAAGGAATATTTATTTTATTTAAATCAGATCGAGAAGAGAATGACAAAAAAAAGCTGAACATAGACTTATTTCCCCTTACCTAGCAGCCTAGTGGTGGTGTTGCCTGCAGCAGTCATTGCTTCTCTAGTGTGTCCAACAGTTGGCAGTTTAGTACAAACTATACGGTGAGCTCCCATGGTCCCGAGAGTGTAAACGTTTGATTCACCTGTAAATTATTATATGTGTAAACAATTACTGTTTTACGTTAATGTTTCCCCTTCATAAACCCTATATGGAAATTTTTCTTATATATGTGGGATAGATTGTCGATGCAGATTTCTCTTACAAAGAAATATGTGGAGTAAAATCATCTGTGTGGTTTTAATGTCTAAGACAATTTATTTTAACAATATTTGAAGATAAATTATTTCTTAAGCTTTTTGTTTTAACGGATATGAAAACGCCCCCAATATAAAAACAGTTTGTATTTAGGAATATAATTCTAGGCCTACTTACTTACTAAGATAAAGAATGTTCAATTATTTAAACAAATATTTCAATTAGTGATGTGATAAACAAATTTGAATTTTTTCAATTTTCAAATTTTTTTGATATAGGTATGTCATTTTTACCTTATTTAAGGTAGATTTTTTCCTTTTCACTAGTTAATGAAATAAAAATTATTTTGTAACAGACCACAAAAAATAAGATATTGTTAAATGGCCATACAAACTTTTAAGTAAAGATTTGGAAAAGCAACATTTAGATTGTCGCGACATTTCCCAATCTACAAGGTTATTCTACAAGGTCATCTACAAGGTGATGAAACTGTACCCCACCCAGAACAGATACAAAAGTTGGGCCTAGAAAATTTTCCGCCCTTCCTATCAAGGTGTGAGTATGCATGTGTTCAAAAATATCTGAGCCATTATTATCGGGATATAAATTATAATGTCCTACTACAATTTGTAGGTTAGAGTCACTCCACCCTGAAAGACTTTTCGTTTTGAAATTAATAGTAGCTTCAAAAGAATGGCTAATTGAGTTAGTTGAAAAATTGAAAAGTTAAAAAGCAAAAGCCTAATTTACATTTTAATTATTGTAATATTTCAATAATAAACAAATAATACTATGTCCCTGTTTAAGAAAATCGCACTCCTTTACCTTCAAAAATCGCCCTAATTCTAAAATTAAATTTGTAAAAATTTCTCGGATTTTTTACGGTTTTTTACTGAACAAGCATGCCAGCTAATCAAACCTTTGAAAAATGCTTGTTCAATAAAAAAAAACCGTAAAAATCTGAGAAATTTTAGAAGTAGGGCGATTTTGAAGGTGAAGGATTGCGATTTTCGGAAAACGCTGAAGAGTGTTTTGTATACAATTTAATTCCTGAAATCTTTGCTAGCTCTTACTGTTTTCGAGCTACAGCCGTTTAAAAAAAATGTGTTTTTCTTAAAAAAGGGGGCGAAAAATTCAAATTTTGAACTGCCACAACTTTTGATAGGATTGACGTAGAGATCTCTAGTTTGCGCCATTCTTTCTTTTTTCATGCCCTCACATTTGAAATGTCAAAAGGGGTACCTTGCAATTTAAAAATTTTATGTTAAGGGTAGGGGGAGAAAAGGGGGGAATGGGAACTTCACATTAAATTCACAACAATTGTGGCCCCTACGTCAATAGACAATTCCCCGGAAACTGCATATTTCTATCTATTGCAGTTTTTACATAAATAAAGAAGCAAGTTAAAAAAAAACACCCTGTATATTGATGTAACGTTAACAAAACTACAAAAATCAAATAGTGAAATAACACTGGACAATTGAATTGACAATAACTGATAATGATCAGACAATAAGTAAACCTGCATTTTGCATCAAGTTAGTTTGTTGCTCCGGCACATATCTAAATATTGATTATCTGCTTTTGCAAATCAGAATGTATTTGCAGAGAAACACCCTGTATTGTTGATGTTAAGTTTGGATATTTATGACTTCTGATTGGATTGATACAAACAAAGCACATCTGATACCATTAACCCCGTATGTCAAGCCATTTGCCATTTACATTGAAATAATAAAATAATTTTTTTAACTACTAAAGTAATGATGTTCTTTAAAAAGTGTAAGAATCCTAGAAAATGTGTTTAGTTTTGATTCAGTTTAAAAAATGTTTATAATTGTGAGGTTGTTATGATTACACATTTTCTTGGAGTAGCTATAGTGAGATGTTCAATAAACATAAAGCTTCTGCATAATTGGCTAGTAAGAAAATCTGCAAGACCATCAATCAAATTGACAACAAATTAAACCCAAATAATGACTGTGGCAAAGAATTAAAACAATGTGGAAATATGAAACTAACAGTGACGAACTAGGTAGCGGTGAAGCCAGTGTAGACATGGGTGCTGTTAACAAACCACCCTGGCACAGTTCTTCATTAAATAGTGAGAGAAATACACATAAGTGGTGTTACTGTATACTTTATATGTGAATTAAATATACTATTGAAATCCAAGCTATGGAAAACAAATCAAGTAGAATGGCTGTGATGGTTGGCATTGAAATGATGATCAAAGATGATTTTGAGTAGAAAACAAAAATGGCAAGGCATTTATGAACATTGACGAATCAATATACACATTTATACACATTTCACAACATTCCTAATAATTAGTAGTATGCAATAAATTGGTAAGCCCGAACCAGTGACAAATTTACGAAACCTATTTATAACAAATATTGAAATAGCCCATTGATTCAAACATGACAGGGCAGTCCCTGATGAGGAAGATACACAAACTGTGAAAAAAAACATTTAAAAAGTATAAATTGAAAACTAGGGATGGACAGGGTTGTACCGTTGGTTAGAAACAGGGCGGGATTTTTATTCCTACCTGATTTTTAGGACTGGAACAAGACAGGAATTTTCTCGCTGGGCAAAAAGGGTTTGAATCATGAACACCTCCTGTGATCACAACAAAGTCATAACTTCTAACTAGAGACATCATAATCACCTCCTGGGTTTGCAGAGCCACTATGAACATCTCCCGCAAAGAGAAATCATCACCACTCAAAACAAGCCGGAATTACTGACAATTGGAACAAATTTTGTCCCAAGAAATTCCTGCATTAAATGTACAGTAGAACCTCTGTTAACCGAAATCCGGGTTAACCAAAATGGTTCCATTAAATAATACAGGGCTGTAAAATGCTTAAGTAACTTCAGTTGTTTTGTTCTAATCCATTGTAACATTGTTTTAGCTTAAATAAAACACTGGGTTGTATATCATTGACTATATAGTCAATGGTTATACAGTCATTGTCTTAAATTCTTTTTTCTACCCACTGTGGGAACACATTGGTTATTTTTAGCATATGATGGGTTAACCGAAAAATTGGTTATCCGAAACAGCTCTCTCCCTTTATTTTGGTTAACCGGGGTTCTACTGTATTCCATTCCTGAAGATTCTGATTATATTTTCTTTGAAATTTCCAAATTTCCTGAAATTTCGGAACCAGTCCATCCCTATTGAAAACTTATTTCGAGGTTCGCTTGTAAATTAAGGATTTCATCAGGCTCCCGTAGCTAAGCAACCTAGTTCAAAACTGAGATTATTGTTGTGTTTATTACTTAATCTTATAATCTTATAAGTTGAAGGGAACCTAGCTGGTTCCCACCACTATGAGATGATCTTGCCATAATACTAGTAAAGTAGTAAACATTGTAAAAGAAAAAAAACAAATTTTTGAAGTCTAATTTTGAATTCAATCTCACTTTTTAACTGTGCCAGGGTAATAAACATATGAGAAACTAAAATGTACAAATATACAACATAATGAAGATACATGAGCGTACAGCGAGGTAGGCAAGAGGCCTGGGGTGGCCTTACCGAATGAGAGGGACCTGACCCTGGCCTTACCCCTCGCAGCTCTTGGCCGCAGCGAACCCCTGGGCATGCCTGTCACAACATATCACCCTCTACACCTCCACTCTCCCACTTGGAAACTAACTAGATGTGTCGAATCAAGCAATAGGAAACATTTGTTGAAAACATTTGCGTCGGTTTTAAACTAGGCCAGATTTTTTTAACTTATTCGAATAAATTTAAATTCGATTGCAACCATTCTTTGGGTTTTTTTTTTCTATGGTGCATTTAATTACATTTTAGTATTATGTAGCAATTTACTATGCAGCAAATGACAAACCCTATTGCACTGTAAAATGTTTAAAGGCAATTTTCCTAATCATTTTATCTGGGAAATAAAATATAATCATCAGTAGTGCATATATTATAGAGTTGAGTTATTTACCAAGCATAAATAAATATCAAGAGAATTTCTTGCAATAACCTTTAACTGTGAGAAATCTTTTCTTTCCAGTAACTTGTATTGTAAGTTAACAATATCAGATTTTTGAAAATAATTTTATCATGTCAAGTTTGGTTGGTTAGAGATGTCCAAATAATAAATGTTCACATCAACCCACACAATTCTGGGGATTTTATTATATAAACTCTTAACGTTAAAATTCGCTTTGTAGCATGTCTCAATCATTTTTAACTAAGCTTACATATTGCTTCAATTTTGGTTTAAGGTGATTTAGTTTAAGTATTCCTCTGCATTTCTTTACATGAAGATATACTTTTCAGCCTTATTGGGCTGCATTAGAATTACAATATTCTTCTCAAAATAAAAATTGAATGAGTGAGCAAGATTATTTCTTTTATTTAAGCTTAGCAAAATTGGGTCTAAAAGATAACAGTTTATAAACATTAATTTGTTTTGTCAATCATGGCGTCTGCCACTTGTTATTAATGATCCCAAAAACTATTTACATAAGATATATACACAAATCTATTCTATAATTGCATACATAAAATACTATTAAATTGAAAGATATATCATAACTCATTGGTTATATAGAGTACCTAATTTTTACAATTTCCTATTTTAAATTTTTATTTTTTTATTTTATTATTACATAAAAAATGCACTAAGATGAGCTACATGTATGCATTTGCAAATTACAACAGACAACAATATTTTATGAACGTCTATTTTATAAAAAATTTGTATTAGTTTAGGGTGGTGGGCAGTTGAGGTTTTTTCTAAATGAGTAATTTCACATATTTCACAGTTGGGATTGGGAGGGTTGGCACCGGGTGCAAACCCATCAGAATGTGTTAAGGTTAGGTTAAGTAACCCAAAGATATCCAAACAGTACTTAAGAAAAACCAACGTTTAAAAATTGATACGCAACCACTGTGACTCAGGCTTCTGAAGACCAGCCCTAGTGCTAGTTGACAAAGGTAAGAGTGATGTGCAACTGTTGGAATATTGAGACAGAATAAAAAGTACAGTTACAAAAATATGACAACTAACCTGTGTTGTATGAAAAGGTACTCGGTATAACCAACAAGTACAGAAAACGTTTTTCCAAGTGAGAAAGTAAATATGTACATAACAAAACCTTCACCAACAAAAATAAATGAAAACACAACACTGTAGCTTGTAGAGACGCACAGAAGCTTCTGAAACAGACAGAGACCTACCAAACTTGGTTCTTCTAACGAGCTTCGTGCTGTAATAGAGAGATGTGCGTTTGGTTGGTGGAGGCACTTCTACAAACCATTCGTTAGAAACATATCAGACAAGTTACAATTTACTAGCTCATTGCTAAATTACTGGCTATTAGATTTACCCTCAAAAGTATATTGTTCTAAAATTTAAGTACAGTTGTAATCTATAACACTATCTATTTTAAGACCTACAAATCTACAATTTATACTGCATTGAAAAGAAGAATTAGTTTTACTGTCGTATCAACTGATTGCCTGTTATTTTCTAACATAAAATATTGTTAATTATCATTACAGTCTTTTCAAAAATTTTGTCAAGTGCAAGAAGTTCTTTTGTGTTGGTTGTTTGCACGCACATCCAGTTTCCAACAATCTTTCTATGTAATTCACAAATTTGTTAGTGCTGAGGTGGTTACTTAAAAAATGTTTGTCGGAACTTTAGCCGCACTTGTAATAGGTTCATATTCCAAAACACAAAGTGATTTTTCCATCATTTTTATAGTTACAAGACTGTAATAAAAATAAAGATTATTTCCTGTTTTACGATTATAAGCTATCAGTTGATGTGACAGTAAACCGTCATTCATTGAATTTACAAGTATAAAACAAATAAAATTTAATCTTTTGTTCTGAAAATCCCTTCTGAATCAAATCTTTCATCTTTCCAAGGTGTTTTATTTATATACAGGTATAGATAGACCAATTTGACTAAAGATAAGTTATATTAATATTTTGTTTGTTTAAGTTTACTGAAATTAAGTAATTAATGTAAATAAATCCCTATTACTCATAGTGTTTATACGCTACTTAACTACTTGTAATATTAGTTTTGTAAAATAGTTTTCACTGATTTGACAATCACTTTCACTCTATTGTATAGGAAATTTATTGTTACTTTTTTGTTGGCTTAAAAATATGTTAAGATGTAAAAAATATATTCCAGAACCAGCATGGATTACAATTCCTTACCAAAATACTTGTGTTAAGGTTAGTGATAAATTGTATGCAAATGCAATACACTTTGTTTAATCTAACAATAAAACATTGTAAGATAGATAGCTACTTAGATTGATAGAACTGATCACATACCAACTGTTGTGTAGCGAACAAATGTTTCTTTGTTTTCAATCATGGCGTCAACAGCTAGCTTCTCACAGTATTGTGCAGTTATTATAGCTATTGTGGGTTGTTTTGCTTTCACCATGGTTGGCATCTGCTTTACAATCTGTTTGAGTAAATATTCCAAAGTTAAAATTGTTAATGATCACACTATTGACACATAGTACAGGGTGTTCATAAAAGAATGCCAGGATTTTAAACGGTCGTTGCTCAGGGACTATTCAAGATAATTAACCGATTTAAACGTCAAATTGAAGGGAAAAGAACAGAGTGTTTTTCTCATTCTTTGATACAATTCGGAATGATTTAATAAAATTCAGATTTTCATCAATCTTATATGAGCGTAAAACTGGCAACGTCTGTAAGCTTAGGGTGATTGGCGGGTTTATCTGATGTCTTAACTGAATCTTTTTAGGCACAAAGACTCCTTTTACAGGTAACATTATGAATCAATTTAGGTTTGTTCAACTGAAGACTTCGTCGGGCAATCATTATTTTCGGGCTTCTGATGCAGAATTGTCGGATTTCTTTGACTATGTCATTGCTTGAATTTAGCCGGCCAGGTGAATGTCTTTTCAAAACACTACCGTGCTACGAACCTCATTACACCAGCTTCAAGTTTCTTTATCATTAAGTAGATTTAAATTTAGTTTAATTTAGCAATGGATATAAACTCTGCAAACCACAGATTACAATCTGTGCCTTCTGTTGTGCAGTAAACGTTGTACTGTCGACTGGCGTCAAGTGTATGAGTCACAATAGCGGCCTAGCACCGCGCACCTGTAATGCGCATGCCAAGGTCAAAGTTTCTTCCCTTGCTACACGGGAAACAAAACTTAGTTATTTTAGCTTCAATTTGACATATAAAACGTTTAGTTACCTTGAATAGTACCCAAGCAATTATCCTTTGAAATCCCGGCATTCTTTTAAAAACACCCTGTACTATTGAAATGTGAATTGTAATTGTTCCAAACCTTTCTTAAATGCAGCTCACAGGTTGTCTATTGTGTAGACTTAATGAGGCAAAGTAGGCTTGAAAAGATACAACCTTTCAATCTCATAAATATTCTTTTGTTTGAGGTTAAAGATGTAACGTTGAGCCCAAGGTTTTAGGGATTTTTATTAAGATAGCAGTCTTACCTGAAAGAGTAGACAAGTACCCGCCCCAAAAAGAGAAAATATAATACGAGGCCTAAGTAAGTAAAAAAAAGTATGTAACAGACATTTAGCATCTGCGTCGCCATCTTGTTCTTACACTCAGGACGCATCCAGCCATGGAAGCATTGGCGTAAAATATCTATGTACTTTGTTTGTAGTGTAGTGTTCAAATTAGCTCTGTTATTGCAAATCCCGCCAGTTGTGAGGTGTGCTCACGATCAGTTTTTGTTTTTGTTGATGAAAAATCAAAAGCAAATTGAAATTTATCGCCAGATTTGTGATGTTTATGGCAAAGAAGTGATAAGTGAAACAAAACCACACCACAAAACAATCCCAAACACACACACAATCAAGTTGTGTTGTGGTGTTTGTTCTGTGAAGAAAAATGGAGCATTAATTTTAATATCCGAACAAATGTTCACCATGAGAACCACATTGTTAGGCCTAGTCTAGTGGATGTTGAACTGGTAAAGAAAATCCACGATGAAATCTGTGAAAATCATTTCACAATTATGGAAGTTGTGGAACATCTTTTCTAAATTTGACAGTTTGGTCCACAAAATTGTATTTAAAAACTTGTCACCAGAAATGTTGTGTCCAAAGATCTTAACAGATGATCGCAAAATACTTGCTCCAGTACACATTCCTGGAAGACTATAAAAAAAAGCGGAAACCAAGATTTAAGCCATTTTAAAAGACAATGCACAACTGCTCACTTGGCCTTCACTCATTTTTCCTTTGCCGTAAAAATCCCAAAACTGGCGGTAAATTTCAATTGGCATGTGAATTCTTGCCAACAAAAATCTGCTCACAGAGTCCACTTCACAAATAAGGCAGGACAGTGAAATGACAGCACTCATTTTAACACTCCATTGCAAACAAATTCACATTTCTGTAGTTGGATGTATACTAAGTGTAGGAACACTCTGATACTAAGATGGCGCCAATACAAAAGGCCTGTTACCTTCTGGACGGCACTTGTCTTTCAGTTTCATTGATAGCATTTTCAACCTTGAGTTGGGAAGAGAGATCAACAAAGAAACCTTTCTTGGATTAGTGTAAGGAGCAGTGAAATATTTAAAGTTTTGTTTTTAGTAAACAAAGAAATTTTTTGAGCCAGAGTGTACTCTTTTGCATTAATATCCTGCATTGATATCGTAACAAAAATCACTAGGCTACAAATTCCTTTAACAATGCTTGGAATTTTTCATGTTGTTTAAGTTCTTATCAAAGCCTGGCAATGATTTCTACATTATTACCAATAATTACTCATCTTTTTAGTAATAATCAGGTTGTTCTGGATGTTTTATAACAGCTAAACAAAGTATTAAAAGTGAATTTAATTCCGAACAAGCGTTTAAAAAATCTTAAAAACCTAACCAACTAAACTAATTCCCACTATGGATGTTGTATGAGTACCTGTACATCTGTGTCATGCTGTACAATCCTAGTGTAGGCTCCATGCTCCATAGCTTTCACTAATCCCTTCTTCTGCAATTCAAGAAGATGGCCAACAACTAGTTCCTCTTCCCAGTTGTGTTCCCTGCAAATATTCTTGTATTAACACAAAATCTCATTCCAATTGAACTAAATCAATTTTTTGGTTGGAACATGTTTTTTTTTTATTTCAAACTCTTGATTGAATGAGCTCTTGATACCTGCATCATACTACTATGGATTATTTCAGTATATTAAAAATAAGTTTCGAGTTGAAAATGATGATAAAAATTTACCTTTCCACCTTTAATTTTTGTGGGGAACAACGAGTCATACCCCTTCCTGCCCTGCTAATCATCAGTCGCCATTGTTTTATCACCGAAATTAGCTGTGTTTCTATGAAGATCTTGCAACATTTGCTTACTTTCTGCTCATTACATTTATAGTAATGATGGATGGGTTGACAATTTTTAGTTCGGGTGGGACTTTCCCTTCCCTGGTAAAAAGGGTTTGTTTTAAAAATCTTAAATTAACATTCTTGCAGATGGCAATAATGTTGACAAACAAAATAAATTTACAGTCTTAATGGCGCTGATCTACTTATATAAACTAGTGTTGATTCCAAAACTTATTATCTTAATACTGAAACTGATACCAGAAAAATCAATTCTCAATGCCGATACCATTTTTTATTATTTTACCAAATTTACGGCATAGGCTAATCTAATTAGTGAATACTTAGAAAATGACAGGTTGAGTGATATACCAGGAGTGGATTAATATCGCTCAGCAGTAGCGGAAACATCATCAGCGATGGAGGCAAAAGCATGAACATCTCCCGTGGTTATGTAGACACTACCATCGTCTTTTAGGATTTCTTTTAATGTAAAATTGCACGATATTTTCAATCGTGCTATCTTGGCAGATGTTTTGTTTATCCGATTCGGCATCGACTTTTGATGATCAATTCTCGATACCAATTCCCAAGTGTTCAAGAATCGGTGGTATCGAGAATCGACATATCCCTAATAAAAACCAATAATGGGTAAAAATATGTGTACAACTGTTAACTTAAAATAAAATGACATATTTGGTGCTATTTAACAGCAAAACATACGTCTTATTGAGAAATCACTGCTAGCTAACCTCAAACAGAGATTTAAACCGACTATCGCTGTATTTTTTTAAACATTCTAGGATTTTAAGTCCTGATATGATTACCAGTAGAAAAACAATATAAGCTTTAGTAATTATAAACACGTTCACAGCGCCATCGTGAACGTATCCTGCGATCACGACGCCATCGTTAAAATAATGAACACAGACATTTCCCTTTGTCAAACAAAGGTTTGTCATCACACCTGATGATGAAAGCATTTACCTAGCCATGTCCTCAGCAGTGATAGGGTTGGGGTAGGCAGATTCTATCAATTCCAGGACCTTCTCCTCTGTTAGGATCACCAGCTTGCCAAGGGTACTCTCATCTGCTGACACTAGAGATCATAGTGACACATTAGAGAAGAAAAATATTACAGTAGGTAAATACACTACAGTTGTTAGTTGTTAAAAGGAACATTTAACCATTTAAACCAATATTTTTACCTCCTTTATGCTTTGCTACGATCTACAATGCTTAGCTTAGCTTTAATTATTTTATTATTTATCCTGGGATGTACGATTAAAAACTGAATGATTCATTTCCAATGATTTTTATCATGCTGATTTGAATTTTATGTAAAAGTTCATTAACCAAAAAGTAAATTATGTCGCATATTTTTGATACATAACTTTAAATGTTAAGACCCCAGATCCTAAAGTAGTTAGGATGAGTGTGGTGTATTATGACGATTTTTAAAAGTGATGTTTTGAGTCCATATCAGTAATTAGAACAGTTCTCTAAGCCTAAGTTATCCCACTAAGTTTTAAACCTCTAAGTATTTCTTCTGTGTATCTTCCACACTCATAATATTTTATGAAAACACTTTAATTCAAATATCATACTGTCACCCATTCCATCGATTCATCCATTGTTACTAGTATGGCAGATTGTTTGCATACTCAAAATGCTACCTATGCCACCAATACGAATTTCAAAAATGCCTATTGTTCTGTTCTGTACTACCTTGTAATTCAAGACCCGTCTAGAATAGTATATAATAGTGTAGGGAGGACACTAAACCAAATTGCAGAAAACCTTTATTTTGTACTTTTTTAAGTATACAATCCAACATATCAAAACGTTGAGTAATCTTTAGAAATTTCACTTGCTATTTTAAAGTAAAACAGTTAACAGTAATTAGTTTCTTTTAATAGCTCAAACTGTCACATAAAATCATTGGTGTATCACATCCCCTAAAATGCTGGTAGGAGCCCAACTAGTGCTATTTTTAGTTCATCATATAATCGATTTGTAGTGTTTGTTGAAATACACTTTAGCACTCCCAAACATCAAACAGTCCATACGCAACTCGTATTTTGGATACTAAGGTCTATTTTGGTTCAACACTAAACACAATCTTTGAATTTGAATACATAGGACTGTTAGAATCCAATCTGCTATTTCCTAACTTTGTTTGTGAACTTCTTACTTGTTCGTATAGAAGGTTTACTATCCAACAATGAGAATGAATTCTTCATTTTTAACTGAAAATATGAATGAGAACAGAAAAACGAGTGGAAAAAAGATAAGGTAGAACTAACTTTTACTAATGCACAACCTAAAAAAAAAGAAATAAAGTAATTAATTGTTAGAGTTTTTTCCACAAATTATCATTTCAATGTATCAAACTGTTAGTAGGTTATTTACAAAAGAAAATCCAAACACAATGTTGTAAAACACAGACATTAACATGGTTGTGAGGGCTGATGAAACTGCATGTAAATATTTTATTTACACTCACATCAATTAAAAATTCCGTTTTATATTAGCACACTCATGAAGATACATCATAATAATCAACGTTGCACAACTATTTTACTATAAAAGCATGTTAGTAAACTCACACAAAGGAAAATACCCTTGTTGCAGCAAACCTGGATAGGCCTATAAGTAAATTTCCAGTAGCTTAATGAGTTTTTTCATCAAACAGTTTCATGGTAAAATATGTTTTACTATAAATATAAATCAAATTTGTTCTCTCAGTGCTTAGGTTTGCTGTCAAAGGTACACAAAAGCTATTGCTTAGATTTAATTCTATTTATATAAAAAAAATTTAACCGACTTTTTTTTTTAGATCTTAAAGCAAAAAAATAGAGTGAACCCAGGCTCAAGTCTTCCCATGAAAACTATGAAGCTTCTGCTCCTTCCCAACAGGCAAAATTGCTCAACTGCCAATAACAATCTTGATCATCATAAGTTAAAAATGAAATGTGTTTGAATTTTTGCACCTACTATTCTGAAGTTAGGTAAGTATCTGTTTTTATAATGACTTTGGATCATTCACTGCAGATTTCAAAGAACTAAATATTAGAATACAAAATGTTTGTGAACAAAGACTAACACATAAAATGTTGTGTATTGTCTGTAAAAGTTATTGTAAATTTTTAAAACAGTAGAAGACGGTAAACAAAATCCATTAAATTTTAAAACAAATATTGTATTAGCTTGACTAGGTAATTGAACTGTGTAAGAGCCTAAAATATTGGCTGGTATATAAATATTAGTCTATTATATAAGAATTTGGGAAAAATTCAAGTTAAGTGTCAGATTTTATATTTTACACTTGTACCATATCCTTTTAGTTTATAATTTCAAGAAGATTGGGACAGCAATAGTTGTATACACTACATATTATTAAAAGAATTTACTCACTGAACTTGATTTTGTTTTTTGTGTTTTTTGTATATTATTTTTGCTATACAACTTGTTTACTTTATGTGTACTTTTTGAGGAATAGAGACTATTTGGTTTCCCAGAAAGACACACATCGGTCAATTGATACTAGTCAGGACAATATTGAAATGATAACAACATCAAAACCATGCATATTTGTTAATTGGGCGACAAACAAAACCCAAACCTTGTTCGGAACGTACTGGGCAAAAACAAATCAGCAGATATCCAGGCTCGACTAAAAACAGAGCGACAATCACTTAGAACGATGTTTCTTTTAATAACAAAAGTAATAAAACTGGAATCAACAGAAAGTTTTAGATAATGGACATTTTAAATTTTAATGAAATTTTCCAATTAGATTATAATGTATTGAAATCTTGTTAGGTGTGTGGTGTTAAACACAAGATAAGTTTTAAAACCGACCCCATAATTACACTGTCATATAATTTTAAGAAAGGAAAAAGTTTTAAAGAATTTTGCTGATATACAAACAATAATCACAGTCCAATGGGAAAATTAAATATGGCTTAAAGTAGGCTGCAATTATACAACAAATTTCTTATTCTGCAAAAAATGATTCAACCAACTGAAAAAGATGTTACATTTGTGATGTATTTTGAAACGTTTGTTCCCAGTTGTTTCAGACTTGAAAGGAGCCTAATGAGCTGCGACAGTGAATTGTCCATTGTACTAACATCGTGTGACCAAGGTCTTGGGACAAAGCACACTGTACTGACTGACATTGGCAGAGAAAACTATGGGAGAGTAACCTAGGAGTTGTATAATAACAATAACATTGGCCAGAATATACCATGATAAGGCGTTATTGACTATGCAAAATTATATTGATTAATCCAAAACAGAACCACAAATACACACTCATAAACAAAAGTCATAACTTTGGAACAAATGGGGACAGCATGTATAAATCAAATTTAATATCAGTATAAACATTTATCAAATAAAAAAATCAGTCAACAAATCTTTTAAACAGCATTTTTTGCAAATTTAAGTGACTGAATTTTTTTTATTATTTTTTGTTAATTGAGAATTTATTTATACCTTACTAATTTATTGGTATAGCACTTCTAATGAGTTATTTTTAGACCAACGATATAAAATAGTCAAACGCCCTCCCCGTACCCCAGTGTTATTTTTGGATCACCGATACAATGATCGAACAGATTAATCATAAATTAATAGAGTAGTAAATAAATTGTGGGTTATGTTCCATAAAAGGGCGTGTTAAGTATTTCAGTCATGGTTTGATGAAAAAGTTACATCATTACATCATTAAATCAATATCATCAGTGTTTGAAAATAGTTTTTGAAATAAAATAAAACTACTTTATTATTTCATCCAAAACAGAATGTTTATATCAAGGAGGTTTTACATTTTAATTTATCACACAAGTTATGCATTTTTACTATCCTGATAATTAGACCAATTGGTTAATTACAAGGCAAAAATATGGTTCGTATTCCACCCCTTAGTTGCCATTGATTGTATGGACTATTAATTAGCAGCTGTGTCTAAGGAACATGTCGGCCATAGTCACTATCAAGACTACAAGGTTGTGCCACTCATCCTACACTAAACTCCATTCATACTTGGATTTAAATAACTACATTTGTATGGTCGCCATTTCAAAGTAAAGTATTAAAGTATTTATTTATTAGGTTAGTTTAATCCATGGTTATAATTAACTCATACACTAAATGTTAGTTAATTTACAAGATTTACGTACAGTACTCTTATCACAGGCTATAATAGCATTGACTATATAAACACTATAGTGTTATATAGTCAATGCTAATAGCCTATTGCATTTTTTATTATTTGATCTTTGTATGGATTTCAAGCGTTTACCTTACAAACAGAGGCTTTAGTATTGGCATTGACTATATAGTCAATGGTATTGCTTAGTTGTGAGGCAAAATAAGATATAGGGTAACAAACACAGTCATTAGAATAACAATATATTGTATATAACGAAATACAATCAATATTAGGGCAAAAATAAAATGTAAAATATTACAATATTAAAAGCTCCAGTCAACGTTCATGACTCCAGGCTCCAGGTAACTTAATGTTTCAAAATGTTTGCAGACGACATGAGCAGTGCACAAAATCACAGAGAAGTAAAATACTTTTCTATGATGAAAATAAGATTGCATAATAATCAATGACCCACGTTATAAAACGTTAAATTTGTTACCTTAGTTCGTTATCAGTGAAGAGGCCTAACAAAATTAAACGACAACAACATATAACATATTATTAACACGTTGACTGCGCGCGCCGACTTTACAGGCGCTCCCCAGTGGCGGGCGAAGCCCCGGCGCGCAACCGAATCAGCGAACGCAATTGGCATTCAAATATTTCAGTCTGACGAATCACAAAAGAGCAGTGGTGACTGTGCTGCGTTACCCCGAGAGTGGATGTAGTTCACTGAAACACCCAAAGGTAGCAGCACTGCATGGATCCGTATCCAGTGTCTTTGTAATGTGGGTTGAAGAGAAAAAATCCCCGAAACTGGGACAAAAGCATTGCCAGACAGGATTTTACGGGAAATTTTAGTACCAACCTACACCAAAGTAAAGCTCGCATTCTAAGCTGGCAGGCTGGCAACGATTATAACGTCTCCGTCTGAGGCTAAGCTCACACTGACTCAATATATTTCTGTTGGTCTGGTGCCGACTTTAGTCCTGGGAGCGCTGGCGACGCCGACTAAAGTCGGCACGCGCAGTCAACGTGTTAATAACATTAATGTTATTACTTGTTCAATACAATTATTTAATGATAGATATTACATTTAAATAAGAATGACTAAAATCTTTCGGCCCCACTCGTCTCACGGGCCTCTCTGCTCACCGTTTCCCGCTCACCGGTTGGTTCGCGGGCTCCCTCAGTTCCGGGCCCCCCCCCCCCGCATTGCAGGCCCTGCGGGCCCTTCTGTTGCGCCACTGAGTCTTTCACTGGTTAAGGAAGCAGTGTTGCCAACACAATATGAATTTACAAATGAAAATTACAAGTCAATTGAGTCATTGATTTTTATTTACACTTAGTCTAAGCCTGTTTTTTAGGTGTGGAAAGGGAAAAGGAAAATGTTAGGCCTATCTGAGGTTGAGGTTTGGGGGCTCCCTGGACTTTGTGAACCATTGATAAGAAAGTTCCTATCTTCTTAGTTGTGATGGGTTACAAGTGGGAGGGAAAGATCTTATTATTTTTTGATTAAAACAACCGTTTAAATCTTGCATATTGTGGCTCGCAGCATGAATAGGCACTGGTTTATCTGAGTGGTTGTTTTTTTATGTCTGTCCTATGATTGTTGTATTGAGATGGGCAATGGTTGCATTGAAGTTGATTTACAACATTTTTCGTGGAGCATGTATTGTGTCCTTTTATTTTTAAGGTTTCTCCTGTTGATGTGCTTGTAAATGTTGTGCTGAGCCTATTTATGTGGCAGGTTTTGTATCTTGCTATGTCACATGGAAATAAATCTTCTGTAGGTTTATCTTGGTCTTTGTTAGGGTTTCATAGTTTAGGGTGAACTAACATTTTCTTTAAATTGGCTGGTTGTTGGAATGTAGTTGTGGGAGGTTTTTCTAAGAAGTCTTTGGTGTGAGGGGATGCTCTGTGGATTTTGAAACAGTCTTTAGGATTGTGAAGCCTGCTTATCCTATCCTTTGTCTCCCTTATTCTCAGGCAATAAGCCTTTCTATTCAAACCAAGAGATAATACGGTTTATTATGCTGAAATTCCAGGAAATCTAACTCTCTATAAGATATTTTGACAAAGCAAGCGTTTATAACAATCGTGTATGCATTATCAGATAGAGTATAAGTGAATTGAACAACAAAGAGTACCACTCCAAACAATAAATAGTCCGCTGAAAACCTCCATTTATAACAATACTAAATTAAAATTTTTATGTTATACAGTGAAAAATATGTTCCAACTTACATGGCCTTGTTGGTAGTGATGTTGCCTGTTCCAGTTGTCTGAGAATGATTTCAAGTTTACGAATGGTTGGATACTTGTGTTGCATTAGCTTCATTATCTTCTTTATGAAACCAACATAATCTGAAACATATAATGTTTGTATGTAAACAATATTACACATTAAGGGATCTTCCTTAAGATTATTTATTGATTGCCAGAAAAAATATATCATAATTTGAATTTGTTAGTTGTTTTAGAGTATTAGAATAAATCTAACGGTTTATAATATTACCTATGTCGTCTAGGCTAAATCATTGTCTATTTCAAATTTAAGATATTATTTCTATTTATTTTGTTGATCTTTGGTACATTTTCACAATATAGCAATGTAATGACTGTTATGATGGAGATGTTGCAAATACCCTGTAACTATTTTGGCAGAAGCGGCAAGATATAGTTTAATATTTACAGCCTGCAGACCAAAGTATTCAAGACACACGCTAGCTTACAAAATCTTAACCATAACAAAATATTAGTAAGGAGAGAAAAAAATTAGACAATTCTACTAAGTAAGGAATAGCCTACATCATATTTATTTAGTTTTAGACATTCTTGCAATTGTATGTGTATTTCAGTCACTTCTGAGAAAAAAATAAATGGTTAACAATTCACTATTGGATCACTTTATATAGATCCAAAAGTATAGATGTTTAGATGTTTGATCGTATCCAAAAGAAATATTTTTTTTATATTTTCTTTATTGCATATGAATTATACTGTATATCATTATTGTGCCATGAAATTTAACATCTTTTGTATATTTTGAAATTTGAGAACACTGGTCTGTGCTATAAATCAGAATTTATATTAACATATATATACATTTTTTCCACTTTGTGGTAATTACATAGAAAATGAAAATTTTAATGAATAATTACATGATTAAAATCAATTGCATATTATTCCTTGTTTTTTCCTTTAAAAAAATATATAAAATATGTTCCTGGGTAATTTATTTTATAAAAAAATGTTTTAAAAAATTCTTGTGCGGCGCCTAAAAAATTCTTGCCACTACAGAGTAAAATGACTGCCAGCTCTAGGGTTAAATTAAATTATTTCTAGGTCGTCTAAAATTACCTCTAGGGAACTCCTGAGGAGCGACCAACTCCTTGAAGAACTCCTGTGCAACATGAGGCTGGTCTACCTCAGGAAGTTTGGAACAAAACCAGAAGAGCAAAGTGCGAGATTCCAATGTATGGTTGCCTGTCTGAGCATTGACTAAGTAAACCCTGAACTCCAAACTTAAATCGGCCGCAACATCTTCGCCAACTCCTGAAACATGGTTTGAAATAATACTAGAATATCATTTACTTCAAACACGCAATGGTAGCCTAAGTCTGTTAAATTGATAAATTATATTTTAATAATATAATATATGTAATTATATTTTTTATAGTATAATTAATTATAAATTAATATAATTTTTAAAAAATCAGGTATATATTTTTTGGAATTTTATGAATTTGTACTCCTATTGTTACAACAGTACAATAAAACTTTCCCAAGCTCTGACAAACAGTTTTACATTTCATTCACAATCTCATGTTTTGAGAATTCCTGTTCCCACAAAAACTGTACAGCTTATTGTTTCACTCATGTAACTGGACAACAACAACTGGGCAAACAACTGGACTTGTGTAATGTTTACAAACAATGTTTCAACAACAATCTCAGCCTGTTTTTGGGCTTTTATAATACTTTGTTCAGATTTTAACAGTTGTGAACAGGAAAATATGCCTTGTACCAAAAGTGTAAAATATAAGGCTACCACTTACCATCTTTTTTGTATATTTACCGTCTTGTGAATAACAGTATAAGCGTAAATATATGTTTTAAGTGTTATAAGACGTTTCTTTTATTTACTTTCCGTAAATTTAATAACACGTACAATGCTGATCAAGAAGTTATTTAAAATATAAGCAAATGAATAAATATTGAATAGGCCTTGTAAAAATAAAAATAAGTAGTATGAGACTCAAACCCTCAAACAAGCCATCGTCATTAATGTTAGCCTGAAAACCTTTAACACCTATTAAAGGTGGTTAGTCTATTAAGGACAGCACCTTGTTATCATTGTTCTGCTGTCCAGTTATACAGTAAAGTTAAAACACTAATAGCACAAGAATAGAAGTAGTCAAAGGTATGTATCAAGATACATTTTTAATTTACTTTACTTAATCTGTCTAAAAAACTTTTTATATTAAATTAAGAGGTATAAATCTATTTTTTACGTTTCCGATAGCCCACAAGACCTTATTTAATATTAGCGTGATTAGGTGTAGTATTTAAGATTTTATAATCGGTTCTAATGAATGGAGAGTCCAATTCAATTCAATTCATATATCTTTATTCATTTTTATGTACATTGTACAATAAATAGTGTAGAAATAATCATACAGTGTCAACAGGATAAAAACAGCAAAACATGACGAATGATTATAAAAACAACAAAAATACATATTATAAATCTATTAAGTTAATGTCAACTATCATAGCGACTTAGGGAGTTGTAAAAATCTTCAAAAGAATAAATTGCTAAATTTATTAAAAACTCTTTCAAATATTTTTTTTCAAATTTGTTTGGATCTATTTCTGTTTTTGTATTATTTGGAATAAATTTTAAAAATCTATTACCTGCATAAGATGGTTTCTTTTCAAAAAATTTTGTCCTGTGTGGTTGTATATTTTCGTTCTTATTTCTTAAATTATAAGAATGGGATTTTTCTTTTGGTTCCGAATATACTTCTTGTGTTTTTTGCAATTATTATTGATTCATATATATACTGCCCGTAAACAGTAAAGATTTTTAGGTCCTTAAAATGTTCTTTAGCTGACTCATCACGCTGCAGCTAAGCATGATTCTAACCGCTCTTTTTTGCTCCTTTAAAATGCTATCTAGATTAAATTTTTTTGGTGAGCCATAGAGTGCTATGCCAAACAAGATATGTGAATGCACATGTGCAAAATATAAATTTTTAAGTTTTCAAATCACAGTAAAAAGACATACTTGATAAAGCATGAATTCCGGAATTAATTTTAATGAAAGTTTTGTGGACATGTTTATCCCAATTCAAGTACTGATCTAGTGTTGAACCCAAAAAAATTTTAATAATTTCTTCATCAATATTTTTTTCAGTTATAGCTTATTGTTGTTGGCTCCATCTGTCTATTTTGCATTGTCTTAAAATGTATAGATTTAGTTTTTTGTAAGTTCATCATCAAATTGTGGTTATTAAGATAATTCCCAATACATTCCAATTCTACATAAGGGAACACTTCTGTTCGCTCAATTGAGTTGGATGATACGACCAAATTTGAGTCATCAGCATTCAGACATAAAGTTGAATTTTTATTATATATATATATATATATATATATATATTTTTTTTTTTGTCCTAGGACGCTAGGCACGAGCCTGGAATTGTTTTTCACATTACTTCAGGCTAGACCTAGGGGTTGCGGCATTATCACTTAGATAAAATCCATTGGTGACTTGGCGGGGATCGAACCCGGGACCTCAGGGACTGAAGTCCCGCGCTCTAACCACTACGCCAGCTCGCTCCCATTTATTATATATTAAAGACTGATTATATATCAATGAAAAATTAATAGGTAACAATTCTAAATGTGTTATTTGTATTTATTGTTTCATGAGTGCATTAAAAAAATGTGAAAATATTGTTGACTATAATCAAGTTAATAACAATCTATTAAACTATTACAACAAGTAAACAAACAATATGTTGCTTTAAGGGGGGAGCACTAAAGGTCATCATTTTACTATTATTGTCAATTTGGGAATCCCTATCTAACTTGTAGGAATGTTTGTAGGAGATTGGTTACTTCCTTTAACAGAAGATAACGACCCACTAATGGAATGATAACACAATAAGGAGATATCAATGTATGTTTGCTAGTTGTATTTAAAAATAAATATTTTGATTGTGGCTGTACAACTCCACATTTAAATTAACAACACTGTCTGTCACCTTATCATGGAACAATACAATATTAATCATGGAAATGCATATATGGTAGTTTATTGCCAAGTACATGATCAAGAAAATGTATGTATTTGTAATTATTTATTACCTACTTTATTAACTTACAACGAGATAATGTTAGGTAGCATTGGGATTCAGGGTGATCAACTACATTAGTTTTCTTCTAAATTTTAATCCAAAATCTAAGTTGAATGAAATGATTAATCAATGGAAATAAGACTGTTTAAAAGGGGAGAAAATATACATGTACATATAACACACGTTTGTACAAAAGCGTAAGAAAATATATTATTAATTGATTAAATTGAAGTAAATTTTAACTTACTCTATTGTAGAAGTATTTACTTTAACTACCATACAAAAGCAAAACTTTAATCAAATCCAAACTGTAAAATATACTGTAGAAAAACAAGAATGTAATGAAGCTTAAAGGTTATTTGCAGTCAAAATTGGAAAAAAGAATAAAAATTGTGTTTTGAGGAACTCTATTATTTCAGTAACATCTCAACAAAAATTAAATTAGGCTAAATAAAACAGTGATTTTCGTTGCCGTAACTCGTGATGGACGGAATCAATGAGAATCAGAGTCTTAGAAACACATTATTTACGATGGATGTGACATTATAGATGAAAGCATGTACCTACAATAACATGTTCTGAAATAGATTATAGAAAGAATAAACATTGCTCACAAAATTTTTATATTTAGATGGGTGGTTTAAGAAGCCTTCATGTAAGATCATTACTTTGTAGTGGGATACTTGAATTGGTTCAATATTTGCCAATCCCCAATAATCACTGTCCATTAACAGATATTTAATTCTGCAATGATTTTTTCAACAGGCATAGTAATTAAATTAATGAAATAATTAGGAGAGAAGATATTGTTAGGTTCGTAAAAGCCTCAAGATTAAGATGGATTGGCCACGTCGAGAGGATGAAAGAAGATAGGCACCCACGGAGAGTCTTATATGGCAATATAATTGGAGTAAGGAAGAGAGGAAGACCAAGAAAAAGATGGTAGCAGGATGTGGGGGAGGGTTGAATGTAAGGCGATGGAAAGAAAAAGCAAAACAGAGAAATGATGGGAGGCACATTTTGAATGAGGCCAAGGTCCACATCGGGCTGTAGCGCCAAGGGTAGGTAAGGATTTTAAAAAGTAGTTTTCAAAAAAATAAAAATTTATGCTGCATGTCGTTTGAATGCTTTTTGCTGTCACAGTTGTTTCAAGTGGGGGGGGGGGGTAAATTAGAGAATATAATGTGGGCAAAGCTCTCGATAGGTTCAGTTCTAGTGCGATTTCTAGAAATCAAGTAGTGGCGTATAACAGTAATTAAAATGTGTTACAAGATAAAAAAATCAGTAGAAAAAGCTCAATATTTTAATTTTACTCATGTGTGTTAATATTTTATTTAGCCTACTTCAACTTTTTTATTTCAATGGGATGATCTTTATGACCAAGCAATCAGAACATAGAACCCAAAGAATTTGAAACAAAAACTGAAACTGTGCAAAAAAATAGCCATATGGGTTTGGTAAATTCAAGGACAATAGTATCTAAAAATGAATATCACTAACCTGAGGCGGTCGTCTTGTTTATCACAATACCCTGATGAGCTCCACCCGCAACGTGGATATTCTCATTGTTTACATCTCTTTGATCTTGAATTTTCTTCCTCTCGATCATCAAAGTCGTTGAGGTGGCTGTTTTCCCTTTCGGGGTCATCACAATTTGATCTGCAACAATGCTAAATGTAATCCTTATGAACATAATCAATACAAAGACTAATACAAAATGTTTGGGTTATAGTTCTCGCCTCCAAATCTGGAGGTCGTTGGTTTGATTCCAAGCGAAAAATATTCTGAACCCAAGTGCCATTATTGTCATTGGGCTATGAATTAATGAGGCAATCTAATGAAAGTTCAAAATTAGATAGTAACAATACCTGGGTTAAGACTGTTTTCTTTTAAATGAATATTCAAATTCAAATTCAAATTATCTTTATTTATATTATGTACAAAACGTACAATAAATAGTGTCAAGCTTATAATTACTATGTACAAATACTTAACCTAAACAAAAAATACAGAAAACAAAACTATCTATAGCTGTATACATTCATAAAAAGTTCATCTATTGAGTAGATGGGTTTTTCTATCAAAAATTCTTTAAGTTTTTGTCTAAACTTTTTTTATCCTTAATATCTTTTATTTCATTTGGTATTAACTTTAAAAACTGTACACCGGCATATGAGGGCTAATTTTTATAAATTTCTAAGTTGGGTTTCGGTAGAACTATATTTATTGTCACATAATGTTTGCAAATAATAGTAAAGAACAACACAGGTGTCATTTTCAATATGCAAATACCTTAAGACTAAAGAGTTTTGAAATAATAAAATAAACTAAAACCATAAAATAAAAGTTGTATAAACAAAAAATGGATTGGTCCAAAAAATATAGTTAAAAAACAAATTCATTATTACAAACCTGGTCAGTTAAAAACTCACTATTAGGACTACTTTTAAAACAATGCTAATAGGGTGTATAGAGCCTACAATTAAAAAAAGTAAAAAGACTTATCTAAAAACAACCATCTTTCACCTACAAATCTGTTCAGATCTGTTTAGATCTTATTACAAAACAAACATGTATATTTTATACATCTGCAACGTTACATTTTATTGGTCTTGATGACGAATTTCAATCATGTGTTAAGAGGTAACAGGTAAAATTTAGGTAGAACCTTCTAAATACTAAAAAACAAACAGTACCAGGGAGGGTAATAATAGTAATAATAGTAAGGGAAATAATAAAACGCTAATGTTGGGTGTGGTTTGACCCATTTCTCTGGTTCATTCAGACTAACTCATGCTACAGATGATTAAATGAGTTGATGGAATTAGATGAATTATGCTTTATTGCTGTATCAAAGAGTCGTAGATGGACTAGAGAGTCTTCTCCACCATTTAACTACTGATGAATAAGATACATTTTTACTTTATTATGCTAAGGAAATTTAGCACTACGCAATAACATATTAAAACTAAGCTATCTGATCCCCTAAATTGTTATTGATATCAACATATAAGAAATTTAAATTCCATTAATTTAATCGTTTAATTTAATTTAAATATGTAGGTACCTTATCTCATATTTGTTTTTTAGTTAAGTTGTAATAGAATATAACAGTACATATTTACTATTTGATATAACCTAATTTAGCCTACAATAAAGGTAACACAATTTTATCATCTTTTTGATGAAAAAGATTGAGAAGCTTTATAGCTTTAAGGCAAGACCTTTCTCCTGTTGCTTTTAAATTTTTTATCTCAATGACAGTTTTGTAAATTAGAAGAATTGATTGTTTAGTATTTACTATTTAAATATTATTATTATTTACGTATTTAAATACGGTTGTTGGCTTGTTTCAAGCTGAGATTAAAAAAAGTAATCAATACATAGGTTTTTGTACCGTAAATAATGTCTAGGAATTTGAAGGAACGATTCTGAGATTTTAAATCTTTGTCCAACATTACTTTATTTACCCTAAAATATACTGGTTAAAAAAAAACTCTACCGAAAGAGTCCTGATGGTGATGACCATATATGTTGACCTAGATACGGCCAATCTATTTAACAGCTGATCTCCAGATGGGAGTCTGGAGAGTAATTGACTATGTCCTCATCTATCCAGAGGTCAAAGAATCATGTTCGCTGGTAGAATGTCAAATAGCTTACAATCGCGACATTTAAACTCTTAATTACATCACATTGACTGTTGGAAGATTGCTGTGCTTTGTTCATCCTCGTAGTGATTAGATCAGCCATAAAACCTGCCCTGATAATTGTACATGACATAAACATTTAACACCCTAAAAAATTATCACAATGTTAAAAAAAAATAGTAAATGTATAAAAATTTTTTAAAGTTTTAATTTTTTTAAAGTCTTTTTTTTTGTCTGACACCATATTACCATACATTTACATTGATAAGTGTAGGGTGATAAATGGTTAAAATAAATTATTTGATGAATACAGGCATATTTGAAATGTGCAGAATTGAAAATAATAATAAAAGTAATAAGTCACACAAAGCTGATTTAACATCTGACGGTACTATGGGGTGGTTTTGTTTGATTGTTTGGGGTAGTAATAATAGTAGTTACTATTATAATTATTATTATTTATTATTATTTAATACGTAATTACTAATAATTATTTACAATTGTAATTATTATCAAGCAAAAAAAGGAACTAATGCTCTATTGGCATAGACTTTGTAGATAATAAGTTGAGCATAGATAATGATAATTACCATACGTTTTTTATGACGAATATTATTAAAACCAGTAAGAGCACTAGGGCAAGTAGTTTACAACAGCTTTAAACTGACACAATTACTTGACCAATCTATATAAATTCTCTACAAACCTAGGTAAAAGAAATGTCAACAGTCATGCAGGTTGCATCAACTGTTCTCGTGGACTGTGTGAAGGCGCTATATATAATAGGGCCGTATTTAGAACCAATTGTGGCCCCAGCCTACGAGGATGAAACAGTAATGTCATCCTGGTGGGTCACACCAGAGAGGGTCCTCTATGCTGATTCAACTAAATAAACTTGAAAATTTTGTACGATCAAATCAGCGAATTAACCTAGGTGGCTAGGGCACTAGCTAATAAATAATTCCATTCTTTCATTGATGCTAAAGAGGGATTTTCACTTAATTTAATTTCTTACTATTAGGAGGCTGCACTTTAGATTTCAGGCTGCACAAAGTCAGAAAATCAAGCTCGACCCGATTTTCTCAGTACTCAATATGATAATGCTCAATTAATTACAAGTAAAAGCTTTTATGTCTACGAGGATCACGCTCACGAAATTGAAGGATTAGGCCTATGCTTTTGCCGCGACTCGCAGATATATATGAGAACATTTTCCCACGGGAGACGATGACGATGTCTCCGCGGCCGCAGGAGATGTTGTTCAATATTTTTGCCGTGATTGCGGAAGACAATAATGACTTTTTTTCGCAAAAGGATTCTACCGGGATTGCGGAAAAGTTATTTCCCCGTCACAACGGGTCATGTGAGATAGGGATTGGGCCGTGAACGTGGGAGACGATGATATTATTATCTGATGATGTCATAGGTTTGGTTGCAATTACGGTAGACAATGATAATGTTTCTTCCATGACTACGGGAAGTATTCACAATTTTGCCGTGATCATGGAAGAAGATGATGACGCCTCGGTGCCTCGGAATATGCCGTGCCAAACTAAAGTGCAAGTTTAGGCGGTAATACATGTGATAATGTTTTTAAAGATTATTGGGAGAGGAGGGCCCGGCAAACAAACTTGTGGGGGGGGCTGCGACCTCTTATCACCGCCACTGAGCAGCCATCAGGTGGAGAGGGACGAAAAATATTTATTTATATACCTGTGGATCCGCAACGGAATTATAAATGAGGAAGGATCAATCTTTGTCTGTGTATGTGTGTAATAGCCTAAATGAGCGATGTTGCTAAGCTGTAAAGATATTTCAGTCACTTTCAAACTTAAATATTTTTGTATGATTTTATACAGAGCCATGGCCCAATACTCTAAGTACTGTATAATATTTGTAATTACCTTGAGTGGTGTCCACCATGTTTTCTTCTGTTAAGAACCTCTTAACATAAATATTCCCTTTTCTGAAAAAATAACAAAATGGCTATTAGGTAAGCGCTAGTTAAGATAGTCCTCCATTTAAATATGTCCCATCCCATCATACGTGATAGCCAATTGGAATAAACCTGGCAGACATTCGTGACATGTAATTGTTCTGTCATCATTTCCAATTAACTTAATTTGTATCAGTATCATCGGATTGTTATCTGTTGGCCTAACTTATTAACACGTTCGCTGCTGACCGCTAGATGCCGGGACGGCGCCAGGAGCTGAACTAACGCTCGCCGCTGCATAAACATTGCTGCCGATACACTGAATTACAGTAAAAACAACAGTAGCTATACTGGATGGCAATGTTCTGCAATAAAACTGGCTTTGGACATAGTACTAAGTGATTCTGATAGATAGCAGGACTACCCAGGTTGCAGTCGGTAAAGTAGTGTCGCTATCTAGCAGGAAAGAGGTGGGACAAAGCCCTGTTCTAAACGACCCTGGTGGTGATTTTGGGAAACAATATTTTTTATTGTCAGAAAAGTACGTCACCACATGCAAAGAAATAATAGGACGCTCGAGACGAGCTGGCTGATCCATGGTAACGTTAAACAACAATGAACGGCGACGTTCCGGAACGTTCCTAGCTCCTGGCGCCGTGGCTGACGTTCCGGAACGTCCGTAGCAGCGAACGTGTTAATAGCCTATAATTTGTAGTCTGATATTGTACTAAGTTAATCACTTTCTATACATGAGTATAATAATAACATAATACCATTGACTATACACCTCTACAGAGGTGTATAGTCAATGATAATACTTAATATGCATGCATGTTGATGCCAAACTTCTGCTTACAAATTGTACATTAATGTGCGTGATATAAAATATAATATAAGTTATAGGCCCTAATATAATATTATAAGTTAATTTATTCTAAAATAATACTATAAAAAAGTTGAATACCGGTTTATATATTGAATAAATAAAGCCTAGACGTTTACGGTGATCTATAGACAGCTAATTATCAAAGTTTTTCAGAGGCCTATTAACTTAATAAACATTTTTTTAAATAGCTACCATTTGTTTGTACTTAACTTAACGTTAAGTTTAAGTTAAACTTACATCATCACCAACACCAGAAAATAATCAACAACTACCTTAACTTAACCCTTTGCAGTCGAATGGCGAGTATAGGTCACCGCCCGCCATTTTGCCGACTGCCCAAAAATGGCGACCTACAAGGACCCAAAAAAAAAAAAAAAAAATCAAAAATCAAAAAAGTTAATTTTTTTGGTCGAATGGGGAGTATAGGTCACTGGGCGCCATTTTCCTGACTGCTTGAATGGCAAGCTAAATTCGCCGGAAAATGTGGAAAAATTCGACCTCAAAGGGTTAAGTTGTGTAGTCCGGTTAAACGGATGGCAAATATTTACCGTACCTACACTAGGATATTATGTAACGTCTACTTACAGTATTTTTCACGCTGAATCCAAAAATGCAATCAGTTTTTGTCGGAGAGATTCCTAAGTAGCCGTAGTGGCCGTAAAACGAAGGTTAAGATTACGAACCTAAGGATAATTGAGCGGTACTGAAGGTAATGGGAATATGGCGTGGTCTGGACGGGTCCGTACTGAGTGAGGAGTGAGGGCTGAGTGAGGAGTGAGGACTGAGTGAGAAGGGCTAACAGCTGTTTATACTTGATCTAATGCGGAATGAAATCAAATCATCAATTATTTTTGAAACCAAATAATCAGTTCTTATTTAGGAAGGTAGGTCGGGTTTTATGCGGATTCATGACTGTATTAAGTGTTTTTAAGTGAGGTTAGATTAGGAAGGTAAAGGTTAGGTTAATGAACCGACTCATTAATTTATGCTACTTCCAGACTGTTTTTGCACAATTAAATAGTGGGTGAAACACAATGAAATAATCGTTATTTCATTGTGTTTCACCCACTATTTAAATTGTTTAAATTTTATTTTAAAAATCTAGTTATTGCATATTGTAACTCTGATTTTACTCTCATGGCGTCGTGTGTGGTTTTGTCTGTTTAGTATCGAATGTTAACAACTGACAGCTGTTACCACTCCACAAACCTTCCACCCCTATTAGTGTTAGTCACCACAAGAACTTGGACTCGTCCATACCACAAATATGTTAATAAATCAACAAAACTGAAGCTTAATATTAAATTATTTAACTGTACGGCCACTTAGGAATCTCTCCGACAAAAACTTATTGCATTTTTGGATTCAGCGTTAAAAATACTATAAGTAAACATCTACAAATTACATCATATACCAGTGTAGATACGGTAAATAATTACCAAACCGGTGTCCGGTTAAAAGGTGTCTGGATAAGAGGGGGGGGGTATTTGTTTACTTTAGGGGCGTTTTTTTCTCATTATTTGGCCTATTTTGAACACTTTTTACATTTGGCATTTTTGGGGCAAACGCCTATTTCACCCTGAAAATCGCGTTTAAAAATTGCAAAAAGTGCTAAAAATTTGCGTAGTTTTTTTCTCTTAATGTGTTTTTACTATTACTAAGGACCTACAGAACTAAATATAATCCAACCTAACCTAACCCAACCCTACCTAACCAATGCTTAGGTTAGCAATATGCCGAAAATAGCGGATTATTAGTTAAACCAAGGTTAGGTTACGTTAGGTTAGGTTAGGTTAGGTTAGTTAAGGTTAGGTAAGGTATGGCTAGTTATTAAGTTATTATTTAAATCAATTAGCCTAAAATCACCTGAATATTTTAAATCTAACTTAACCTAACCTAACTTAACCTTACGTAAACTAACCTAACCTAACCTAACCTAACCTAACCTAACCTAACCTAACCTAACTAACCTAACCCAACCCTACCTAACCAATGCTTAGGTTAGCAATAAGCCGAAAATAGCGGATTTTTAGTTAAACCAAGGTTAGGTTAGGTTAGTTTAAATATACATCTGCTTATTACTACAATAATAAAAACACATTTAAAAGAAAGGCAAGGGGGGGGGAAACCTGATTTTCTAAGTAAAAATGGCAAGTGCTGAAAAATTTTCGCGATTTTCAGGGTGAAATAGGCGTTTGCCCCAAAAGTGTCAAATGTAAAAAGTGTTCAAAATAGGCCAAATACTGTAATGAGAAAAAAACATTTTTTTCAAAATTCGTTAGAAGCCCCTAAAGTAAACAAATACCGAGGGGGGAGTCTACTGTAGTCACCTAGTACTTATCCAACCTAATTGATGTGAATCTGCCAATAACTCACCAATAAATAGTGCGCGCGCCTGTGCGTGCGTGCGGTCTCGCCATTCAAGGCCACTAGTAGTGCGCGCGCGCTCTCTCTCTCTCTCTCTCCCTCCCCCTCTCTCTCACTCTCTCCTTATTGTACTCTTCTCCCGCTTCTCCGGTCTACGTGTTGTTATAGACTATTTCAACGTTTGGCTGAGTTAGCTACTTGGAGAGGATTTAAGTCAGTCATAAGCGTTCAATGTTATTGTTTATAGCTATGGAATATAAAATATTTGCATTAGCCCGTGTATATTGTATATGTAAAATAACCAGTATTGCCTGAAAAATAAGCTTGTGTAAATATGAGTTTCACAACATAATAATATAAATTTCAGTCTCAAATGAAAAAAATATATATTTTATCATCAGTTCAACCTATTAATTAGTACAAGAATGAATTGTTTACCTATCTATTTTATGTGTGGTTTCAATACAATTGTAAAACCTTATGTTGTAAAAGTCTATTGCGATGAATATTGAATATTTATGTGATATTTTAATAGTGCGTTAGTTAATAACTATAACAATAAATAGGTACAGCTGAAATTGGCTTCAGCTGTAGCACGAGGACGGGAAATAAGCAATGGGATGATATATTTTATATATCATTGCATTTAACACCAATTTCCATAAGATACAGAAGCGTCTTTCAGTGGGTAGAACATTGACCAGGTCATGTTTATTGATACTTCGGTATCAATATAGCATCTCAGGAACCATTCAGCGTCTCCCAGAGGGTAGAATAGTAACGAAGCTCTCACGCGAAATCTATTGACGGCGATATTACGGGTCAATAGAAACGCGGGCAGCGATTCCACTATAAAAACCTTGATTGAGGACATGTTCACGCATACCACAGTATCAATGTAGTATCTCAGGAACGATTCAGCATCTTCCAGGGGGCAGAATAGTAACGAAGCACTCACGCGAAATCTATTGACGGTGATATTACGGGTCAATAAAAACGCAAGCAGCGATTCCACTATAAAAACTCGATAGAGGACATGTTCACGGATACTACGGTATCAATGTAGTATCTCAGGAACGAATACGCGTCTTCCAGGGGGCAGAAAAGTGACGAAGCGCTCACGCGAAATCTATTGACGGCGATATTACGGGTCAATAGAAATGCGAGCAGCGATTCCACTATAAAAACTCTATAGAGGACATGTTCACGCATACCACAGTATCAATGTAGTATCTCAGGAACGCATGAGCGTCTATTAAGGCCCATTTTCGTGACGACGCGCTCGCCTACTATCTATTGGTGGGTGTAAGATGGGTCAATAGTAATGCGACGCCAGATACCACTATAGGCTATATACTTGATAGAGGACATGTTCACGCATACCTCGGTATCCATTCATACCCAATTTTGTATCTCAGGAACGATTCAGCATCTTCCAGGGGGCAGAATAGTAACGAAGCGCTCACGCGAAATCTATTGACGGTGATATTACGGGTCAATAAAAACGCAAGCAGCGATTCCACTATAAAAACTCGATAGAGGACATGTTCACGCATACCACAGTATCAATGTAGTATCTCAGGACTGCATGAGCGTCTATTAAGGCCCATTTTCGTGACGACGCGCTCGCCTACTATCTATTGGTGGGTGTAAGATGGGTCAATAGTAATGCGACACCAGATACCACTATAGGCTATATACTTGATAGAGGACATGTTCACGCATACCTCGGTATCCATTGATACCCAATTTTGTATCTCAGGAACGATTCAGCATC